TCTTATCACAACAATGATCATCATACTAAAAGCCACTCCGGCAATATAAATCTTGCAAATTCTATTGTAATATCTCCCATAGAGAGTGTCCACGCTATGAGACGCACCAGTGATTCTCATAGACATATTCAATAGGATAATTTAGTAACCATCAAATATTCTTCTTCCTATCACCTCCCGAGTAACACACAGCTATCCGTCTGGAACGCTAGATCAGTATGCAACAAGCTGTCATATGCGTCTCTATATTCAGTCAGAAAATAGATATTTTCATCATCACTGAAACTTGGTTGAGTGAAAATGCCAAGCAGCAAACCGTTCTAGGAGAATTTAAGTCACTACTTTCGGTATATGACTTCATAGAGAGTGTCCACGCTATGAGACGCACCAGTGATTCTCATAGACATATTCAATAGGATAATTTAGTAACCATCAAATATTCTTCTTCCTATCACCTCCCGAGTAACACACAGCTATCCGTCTGGAACGCTAGATCAGTATGCAACAAGCTGTCATATGCGTCTCTATATTCAGTCAGAAAATAGATATTTTCATCATCACTGAAACTTGGTTGAGTGAAAATGCCAAGCAACAAACCGTTCTAGGAGAATTTAAGTCACTACTTCATCAGTAATCCTCGTCGGAATCGCAAAAACAAAAGGAGTTGGTGTTATTGTTCGTCAGGGGCTCAAGGTTCAGATTAAGTCATTTGAACACTTAGACGTAAATATCTCCATGCAATCAAACTTGATCCATCTCATAAACATCTATAGACCCACGCAGTCAAAAAACAACAGTCAATCGACACAAAAGTTCCTTCTGGAGTTTGCTTCCTTTCTAGAATCTGCAATAATATGTAGTGGAATACTTCTAATAACAGGGTATTTCAATCTTCACTTTCAAGATGATACTATTTCAGATGTTAAACAGTTTAAAAACATTCTTGATTCATTTGGGTTTGTGCAGCATATTCATGTTCCTACTCATGAGAACGGTCATACCTTGGACTTGGTGATCACAAGAGCCTCCAAGAACTATTTCAGTCGTTTCAATGTAGATTTCTCCCTCTCGTCAGATCATGGTGTACTTCTTTTCTGAGTTGACCAAACCTTGTCTGCAAAACACTGCAGAAAACTACATCCTATCACAACCAGAGGATGCATCTGTCCACGAACTCGTTGATGAGTATAATACCAAACTATCATTGGTGCTTGATGAACTGGCTCCCACTAAGGAGAAGGTCATTACAGCGAAATCTAGAGCCCCCTGGTTTAATGACACAGTCTTCAAGGCCAGGGCCCAACTTCGTTCTGCGGAGAGAAAATGGAAGCAGCATAATCTTCAAATTCACAAGCAGATCTTCCTTGAAAAGCGTGCCGAATATAAACATCTTCCCAATCAATCGCAGGTAGAGTACTTCAGGTCACGCACTGAAAATTCTGATCAATATTTCTCTGAAATTGACATCATGACTTGTGGTGAATCGGTTTGCAGTGTACTTGCACATCATACTGATCCCGCTGAACTTGCACAAAAGTTTGCGGACTTCTTCACAAACAAGACCGATACACTACCCTCCAAATTTACAGGTATTGCTGCCGACAGTGAAAATTCAAACCTTGGTCATCTTTTTCCCAGTTTCTTTATAATGTGTCATCGATCTATGTTTTGCGTTTGTTGAAATCGATGAAACCTAAGTCATGTGAGCTGGACCCAATCCGAACATATCTTCTCAAGCTATGCTTGTCGAGCACTTTACCATACATTACTAAGGTGATCAACGCTTCTCTTGCAGAGGGTGTGTTTCCGTCCTCTGAAAAGTGTGCGATTGTCAGACCACTCTTAAAGAAATCAGGACTTAATCCAAATGACCTAAACAATTACAGACTTGTGTCAAATATACTATTCAAAAAAAGTAGGGGATATTTGATTTTGGGGGCATAATACTAAAATATGCAAATGACTACGAAAAAAGTCACTATAGAACCTAACAGATGAAACATTTCCAGTTACATGTGACGCCCAAACGCACCAATAGCTACCGCATGGAATGCAGGTGATGCTTGGGATCATCATGGGGGTCCAACCCAAGATTTGCACGACTCTGACTTTGAATGTTACAGTCATTGTGGCATTGAATTCCAGGGTGGAAACATCAGTTTAATTGTTTTAGTGACCAGAAAACAAATTTTGATATGCGTCGGCTTACCCAAAATGAAAGGTTACGTGACCTTGGCATGCTACAGATCGGCACAACACAGGCGGTTGTGGCGAGGACGATGAATGTTTCTCAGTCTGTCATAAGCAGGCTATGGTCCAGATACCGTGATGCACAATCTGTACAGGACAGACCACGCTCAGGTCGACCAAGGGCGACAACTCAAGCCCAGGATCGATTTATCCGTACCTTGGCCTTGAGAAATCGTGTCATCACAGCAAATCAGATCAGCGCTCGTCTTCAAACAGACACTGGTGTGAGAGTGAGTGGCCAGACGATTCGGAATCGACTGCATAGGGGTCACCTTCGCGCCCGACGTCCTCGCGTGATCCCTTGTTTGAGAGATCATCACATTCAGGCAAGACGTCGTTGGTGTAGGGATCGTCAACACTGGGATAATCGACGCTGGAGCAATGTGATGTTTTCAGATGAGTCAAGGTTCACTGTTGATTTTTTGGACAGACGTTGGAGGGTGTGGCGTCGTCGAAACGAGCGCTTCCAAGACGTTAACGTCATCAGACATGATCGATTTGGGGGTGGTTCTGTTATGGTGTGGGGAGGCATCACTGTTGCTGGAAGAACGGCTTTACATGTTGTTGCAGGGCGTGTTACAGGCCAGTACTACCGGGACAACATCTTGGCAGTCCATGTTGTGCCGTTCGCACGACGTCATGGCCGCCGTTTCATCTTCCAGGATGACAACGCAAGATGTCACAGGGCCAGGATCGTTACAGGTTACCTCCAACAACAGAACATCACCACATTACCTTGGCCAGCACTGAGTCCCGACCTCTCCCCCATCGAGCATGTCTGGAACATGCTTGGACAGAGGTTACGTCAACGTCAACAACGTCCTGCCAATGTCCAAGAACTTGCTGCTGCGTTGCAACAGGAATGGGACAATCTGGACCAAAATGACCTTAGACGTCTCATTAGGAGTATGCCACGTCGGATCAATGCTTGTTTGGCAAACAGAGGAGGATTTACCTGTTACTGACTTGGTTGTGATGCTGTGGTAACTTTGCTGTTTGACCCCGGGTATCATTTTACCCTTATAATGGTCAGTCTGTGCCTTACTTAGTCTAACGATCATTTGGAATAAATCGATGAATGTGAACTTCATTTCATTTTGTCATTTGTTTCTTCGTCAGTTTCATTAGGTGACTTTAATAACACTTAAAAATCAAATATCCCCTACTTTTTTTGAATAGTATATTTTGTTCCTTGGCAAAAGGTTGTTTTTAATCAAGTCGATAAGTATCTATCTGATAACTCCATGTACTGCAAGTTCCAATCGATATATTGCAAATTCCATTCCACAGAGACTGCACTGGTAAAAGTTTTTAATGACATTTTGATCTCACTGAACAATCATCACGAAGTCGTTCTGGTAATGCTTGACCTTTCAGCAGCTTTTGATACGATCGACCATTCCATTCTATTACAAACTTTGAATAGATGCTTCTGATTCAGTTGTAAAGCCCTCTCTTGGTTTGAAACCTACTTAGTCGGCAGAAAATAATCTGTGAAAGTAGGCTCTACATCATCAGTAACATCAATATTAAAATATGGCGTCCCGCAAGGCAGTGTGTTAGGTTCCGTTTTGTTCAGTCTGTACTGTACACCACTTGAGGACATTATAAATCAGCATGGTCATTTAAATCCGATGATCTGTGTACTAATTCAATAGAAAAATGTGTAGATGAAATCAGGGCATGGATGGCAGCAAACAGACTTGTACTTAACGACGGAAAGACAGAGGTTATACATTTTTATTTTAAATTTCGTAATCAGTCTATTTTAAACAATGTTCGTATTGGTAGTGAATTTGTACATCCTGTAAATAGTGTTAGAAATCTTGGTTTTAATCTCATTATCATTATCATCACATATTATTTCTGTATGTAAATCTGCAAGTTTTACTTTGTATCGAATAGGCCGAATTAGAAATATTTTAGATCGCACCAATACTGAGAAAGTAGTCCACGCTTTTATCACTTCTCGTTTAGACTATTGTAATAGCTTACATCTTAATGCACCTGACTATCTAATGAAGCGTATCCAATGTCTTCAAAACTTCGCTGTACGTCTTGTCTGTCGCACTAAGAAATCTTCACATATCACTCCCATTCTTTTCTCACTACACTGGTTACCTGTCACACAACAAATCCATGTTAAAGTATTTATCATGGTTTTTAAAATTCTACACAATCAAACACCTTTGTATTTATGTGATCTTATCTCCTATCGTCAGTCAACTAGAACCACCAGATCTTCATCAGGAATACAACTTTTCAAGCCAAGATACAAGCAGGAGTTTTATGGCAAGCGAGCATTTTCCATTGCCGCCCCTCGTCCTTGGAATGCCACACCTTTAAAGATCCGTAATGCACCATCACTTGAAGCTTTTAAATCCCGACTAAAAACTCATCTTTTTAGCATAGCATATTATCAGTTTTAATTATTATATTTGAGTCATTTAAGCAATTTTAAACTTTTGTTTTTGTTCTTAGACTCTTTTCTGTTCTAAGTTAATTCTTTTAATTGTGGATCTACTTTTTAACGTAAATGTTCTTTTATACCTACATATTTTTTTTTTTGGCAATGCTCTGTGATATTTCATTGTTTATTGTTGTACCGCCTATTGAGATCGATGTTGATGTAATTGGCGTTAAATAATAAATATTATTATTATTATGGTAATATGTTTCTGCAATACAAGTACCAGTATACACACTTTCAATTGACTATATGGTATTATGCTTCAGCTTCTAAAACTCACCTCAATTCCCTTCTTCTCTCCATATGGTGGTTCACCAAAAGAAAACATTTCCCACAGAGTTACTCCATAACTCCAAACATCACTGGCATGTGTAAACTTGCCATAGTTAACACTTTCAGGGGCATACCTATAATTGACATAAATTGACAAAAAAAAAAAGCCATACGATCATATTCATAGCAGTCAAATTATCCAGACATTCCATAAAAATTGTCACAATATTATTCTTTCATAAGTAATAGGAGCATTTATATGACACTAAAAGTTGATCAAGGACTAAAATTCATGAATCAATCATTGTATCAGTCAAATGATAAGCCTAGTTATTAGAGTTATCAAAAATTATTGAAACACAAAAGGCTTTTTTGTCCCAAGAACATAAACACTATAAATTTCAAATCAATCAAAATTGTGATCAAGAACTTTAAAGTAGCTAAGTCTCTAACTCAATGTCATCTAAAGTCTTCGACATTGAAAACACCAATTATTTGTCAATTTATATCAACATTGATGTTGTGATCTTACTGGAAAAAGGTGGGCTTCTGATATCCAATATTTAAGACAAAATAAACATTTTACCATTGGTACACGAATCGTATACCATAATGCATTTCAGAGCCATTTGTAACAAGGGTCTTCGAACAATGAGGCTAGATATATTCCACGAGTCATGTCAAACGGTGACATCACATTCTTATCGGGAGAGCATGTGCAATAAATACTATCGGTGTAGACTGGAATAACCAGACGCTTGAGATTGGCAGTCGATTGAGAGTTCTGGCGTATTACCAAAAAGTAATGTTGGTTATTTTTAGATTTAAAATATAAATATCTTCACTTGGAAGACACAATAAGCTTCTTCTGGTAGATGGGAATAGTTTAACCTCATGCCACATATCAAAGGAACATATTTTTAAATATGAAATCTGTGTAATAACCAATTACCATTTGATAGGCCACCGTCCACCTGCACTAGCTTGATAATAATCACTGTTTTCACCAGTCATTCTTGATAAACCAAAATCACTAATTTTTATCTGTAAAAAAAATGCACAAGATGACCACAATAGCATAATTAGATAATCTATTTGACCCATAAACTATGTGCTTCCTCAGATATAATTAAGTCATCTGTTCAACTCTCTAAGCATATCTAATATTTTTCTTTCTTATGCCACAAGAAATGCCATATATTGCTGACAAATCAACGCATCATTTTCAAAATTAACAGAATCACTTTCAACTGTTTAAACAATCCTTTGGTACCATCCTATTTATCCGATTTGATTAAACAATATGTACCTTCTCGTTCCTTACGTTCATCTCATAAAAACCAACTTGTATGTCCAGTACAGAAGTCAAAATTTGGTGAGAGAGCTTTTGCATACGCAGCACCAAAAGAATGGAATAAATTGCCTCTGGAAGTCCAAAATAGTCCAAACTTGGCTATAAATATAGCCAATGACATCTAAAAACCCTGTTTGAACTATAATTTAAATGCTTCACTTTCCATTTGTATATTCTAACTTGACAATTCCTTTGTATTCTTTTGTTTATTTGTAAATACATGTATGTTTTTTATAATGATATCTACATTGTAAAGCGCCACAGAGCAGTCAGACTGACTGAATGTTCAGCGCTATAGAAAACGATTATTATTATTATTATAATGATTCCAGACTTACCTGTCTTTTAGATGCTAAAAGAATATTTCTAGCCGCTAAATCACGATGTACCAAATTCTTGGATTCTAAGTATTCCATTCCTTGGGCAATCTGACCAGCCCACAAATACAGGTCGACTTTGATTTCGATTTCAGATTTGTGGTCAATTAAGTAGTCTAACATTGATCCCATGGGAACATATTCTTCGACCTATTGAAAAAAAAAAAGCTTTCTCTTTTATAGTCATACTGTATAAATACTGGACTGGTATCATGACTGAGCTCTAACAGCATAACAGCAAAAATAGCCGATTGTTATTTTCTGCATATAGAATTAGATTTGAATTCAAACTTTGAAATGGGGTTTTACATAAAAACACCAGTACAAATACAGGATGACCAATTCTGTACCAGAAATCTTTTTTAAAAATTATTTCTCTTGTGGAGGATCACGGTTGATTGTTTCAACAATTGTGTCTTTACCATGGATGTAAGAAAGTGTAATTGTACTATGGAAGAAAGAAAGTGTAACTGTTTTTACTATGAAAGTAAGAAAGTGTAACTGTTTTTACTATGGAAGTAAGAAAGTGTAACTGTTTTTACTCTGGAAAAAAAAAAGAGTACCGGTTAATAATTTTTACCATGAATGTAAAAACGTGTAACAGTTTTCTTGACGGAAAGTGTAATTGTTTTTATGATGGAACTATGAAAGGATAACTTACCAACATCAGTTTTGTTTTTTCATTACACACTCCCAATAATTTAGTGATGCATTTATGATCTAAAGATCCCATTACTTCTGCTTCTCTTAAAAAATCTGGCTCACTACCAACACACCCTTCATGGAATGTTTTGATAGCTACTTCTATCTTCTACATAGAAAATAAATTTTAAGATTGTTTAATCATGCAGTTAGCTGTTTTGACTAGGGCAGGGAAGAGCCAGATCCATAAGGCACGATTTTTAGTCAGTTTATTGGAAATTGGAATCTTTTGAGTATTCAGCACAACATTTTACATCGATTGAAACACATCTATTTTAAGAATAGAGAATTTCATTTACTGAGAGTTTAAATCAGCTCTCTTATTTGTGGGCTGCATTCTTAAAATATTTCAGCATACGTTTTTCTTGAATAAATGAAATGAAATGGTGTTTAAGTTAAAGTCCTACTTTTCTGCCTCGACTGGGCTAATGAAGACAGATTTTCGTGAATAAGTTCCCTGTGCAATAAGTAAACTTTTCAGTTGGTTTGAAAAGTTAAATCAATGCAGCTTCCATATGTATCAAGTAGTCACAATCAACCAGTCTAAAATCTATTGTATGCCAAATAAATAAATTTTAATTTTCTAAAAAATCAGAAATATGTTTTTTTATTTACTGCCATATATGTAGTTTATCAAAATTGGATTTACCTGTTAACATATACAGAGACAAACTTACCTTTTTGGATATTAATCCATCAGATACAGTGAGTACTCCTTTAATAACAGAACCATACTCCCCTTCTCCTAATATATTACCTGATTAAAGATACATTATTATGTAAGATTTAGATAAAGAACTAGCCATTCTTGCTATAATAGTTCGAAAATAGATAATGCAAAATGAATATATTGAAAATTTCATTAACATTACTTTAAGTGAGCGAATATATTAGCCTTTGAAGGTTTGACAAGATGTGTGCATTAATTGGACCACCATATTGGTTGTTCGAAGCTAAGCCTCGCTTCCCCATTTTTAAATCAAATCAAAATATGGCGGAACCATTCTAATCTACTTAATATCTGAGATATCCAATGGCATCAATAGTTGATTATGGTCTTTTCATGTTCATAAATGTCTAATTAATAGTTTATATAACATTTCAGGCCTAAAGAAAGACCTGCAATAGGCAAATATACAAAAATAAAAGACATATTCAATTCAAAGTTAGTTAGGTCATGCAAATCTACCCTTAAATCTTTTCTAAAATGTGATACAATGCTTCCCATCAAATTTGACAAGCGGCTGCCATGCAAGATATGCCCACATTTTGCAAGAGATGGACAGAGAATGAACTTAAAAATTAATGTGATTTTTTGTACAATCAGGGGCCATAATCCAGGAAGATATGCGTGAATATCGAAAAGAACCGAGATCTTTGGGTTATGAACATACATTTCAAGTTCCATCAAAATCGCCTATAGAGGGTCCACAACCTTCGTATTACATACTTTTACACAATTTGCGTACAAAGAGCGGTTATTTTGTTGGGCAATTTCATTCAATTTTCCTGAAATTTGAATTCAACCTTCCTTATGGTGGAAAGGTGATATATTTAAACGTTTTTTAAAATCAGAAAAAAAAATGTGACCTCAAGAGAATCCGCAAGCTAAAAATGCGATTTTTCGAACAATCAGGGGCCAAAATCCAGGAAGTTATGTTCGGATATGCGCGATTATCAAAAGGAACTAAGATCTTAGTGTGTAACAGTGACATATTCACATGTTTTTTTTAAATCAGATAAAAATTGTGACCTCTATATTTGGTACAATAAAGGGCCATAATTCAGGAAGTTACAATCTGATATGCGGAAATATCGAAAGGAACCAAGATCTGTGGGTTATAATAAACATGTATTTCAAGTTTCATCAAAAATGGATAAAAATTGTGACCTCTAGAGGGTCCACAATATTCATATACCAGACGTTTACACTATTTGCGTACGATGGGTGGCCATTTTGTCTGGCAGTTTTGATCCGACTTTCACAAAATTTGAACTCAACCAACACAATCTGGGGCCATAATTCGGGAAGTTACGATCCGATATGCGTGAATATCGGAAGGAAACAAGAACTCTGGGTTATAAACATGCATTTCACGTTTCATCAAAATCGAGTGAAAATTGTGACCTCTACAGAGTCCACAACCTTGATATACCATTTTTTTATATTATTAGCATACATGGGGCGGCCATTTTTCCGGCAGTTTTGGTCCGATTTTCACGAAATTCGAACTCAACCATCATTAGGGTATAACTGTAATATATTCATACCATCAAGGGCCATAATTCATGAAGTTACGATCTGATATGTGTGAATATCGAAAGGAACCAAGATCTTTGGGTTATATACATGTATTTCAAGTTTCATCAAAATCGGATTAAAATTGTGACCTCTTATGGGTACACAACCTTGATATACCATATTTTTACACTATTAGCGTACGAGGGGCGGCCATTTTGTCTGGCAGTTTTGATCTGATTTTCACGAAATTCAAACTCAACCATCATTACGGTGTAACAGTGATATAATCAAACGTTTTTTTAAATTGGATAATAATTGTGACCTCTAGAGGGACCACAAGCTAAAAACGCGATTTTTTGTACAATTAGGGGCCATAATTCAGGAAGTTACCATCTGATATGAGCAAATATTGAAAAAACCCAAGATCTTTGAGTTATAAACATGCATTTCAATTTTCATCAAAATCAAAACATGATTTTTCGAAAAATCAGGAGCCATAATCCATAAAGTTATGCTCCGATATATGCCAATACCGGTTTTCAAGGTAAGTTCATAGTAGATTTACTAAATTCAGTAGAAAGATGATTTAGTGCCAAACACAGCTGACAGATCCAAAAGAATAAGAAGAACACATTCACAAATTCTCCAGTGAGAGAAGAATATCTCTGTGAACCAATGATGGGATTTTAAAATTTTTCTTGTCGGACATTTTACCGAAAATAAAGGGGAATAACTCTTATAGTTATTTAAGCCGGTGATTTCATACCACAATTAAAAATCACATGTCAGCAAAATATTCAAATCCTGTAAGTACAGTGGACTCTGTCACATCCGACATCGTACGGGATCGTTACAATATGCCGGATCACACAGAGCGTCGGAATACCCAGTTTTCTCAAAACGGGAAATATTGTAACATCGAAAACCGGAAGTATTATTATTATAATGTAGCTTCGAATCACCAGAATGTTATTCCCTTTAAAACGATAAACCTTTCTGTACATTCAAAATTTTATTACATTAATTTTTATTTCATTTAACATGCGTAGGCATTTTGAATAGGTCAGGTCTGTCGTTAATTTATCTTCTTTACCGTCTTCAGTTGATCGCACTCTTGTCTTTGCTATCACGTGTTCATTGATAATGGGCGAACTCGATTGAACGTTCCGGAATTGAATTCTCTCAATCCCAAAAATAGTGACAATCGGGCTACAACGCATGCGTCGACTGGATATATAAATATCTCATCCAACCATGCAGCCGAAACCTGTTCGTTGAGTTTAATTACGTCACAATTCTACTCACATCAGCTCCGTCACTCGATTGCAATTCTGTCAATTCGGGACGTTTCGGACTGTGAATCGAGCATCACCAGTCGAAGAGATCCGTAGGGTGACCAAAAATGGGTTATTCAGGTTCAATCGGCATGCGCAACGAATGTTTCCAACAGGTGATTGGAAAATTTTTACAACTATGAATTCGGGAGAAAATTTGTGGGTATTTTTGAGTATTTGTAACAACTGACGTACAAGGGATTAAAATTATCAAAGTAATCAACACAGACCGGCGCTAGCGAGTTTTAATCTCATAGATAATTGATTGGTGATTGCTTGTTAATCTTTTGTGGCTTCACACCCATCCAGTTTTAATCTCACTGATAATTGATCGGTATGTTTGCTTCACACCCACCGAATGAAGGCCGGATTATACAGTGTCGATTCAATGGAAATCGTATGACGGGACGGCCGATTGATGTCTTAATCCGGAACGTACAGAGGTCGAATGTGACAGAGATTTTTTGGCTGAAGTAATAAGGAAATAAATTGGGACATGAAAATGGTGTCGGATGTAACAGAGATCCGGAGTGATCAGAGATCGGATGTGACCGAGTGCACTGTAATAAAAATAGGAGGAAACCTCGCTATTTTTCATATTTAATTCCTGTACGGTATTCAAAACCCAGGCCAGTAATATTTCTCCAAAATTACAGGTCTTGGTTTATACAGCAACAAATGAAAGAAAGGCGTGGTGATGTCAAAACACCATTTTCTTCCTTCATAAATCAGTATTTTAAAATTACATTGATAGTTAAATCACTCGTAAAAAGGCATAGCAAACTTCAGCGTATGGCGTACATGACTCATAGCACATAGCAATACTGTCTTATATGTTAAGCAATTTCCGCGCTGCAATCGAGATCGCGGGGAAAGTGCAACTGTGGATGAAAATTTCTATATGGAGTCTTAAAAGACATGAAAGATATTGCAGACAAAATGACTGTCCATTGAATTAGGGTGTTATATACTCTTACGATATGTGACATCTATGACTAGTTTATACATGCTGTCGGTTGATGCATGCTGTGATTAAAATGTCTGACAACGGAGAAACCATGAGGTAAACACGTAGATTAAAATTATAACCACTCATTCAATCATGGCAGATTAAGTAGTTAATCAAGGTAGGTGTATAGACGGTATAACACGATAAATACGTTGATCACTTAATCAATCCAGCCTATTATCAACGATAATCAGGTTGAGTGGTAGTTATACACTCAGTACACTATAATAATTTTGGAATTTTGAATATGATTCACCATATCTTGATGTCCGATTGGGCGTATTCCTGGTCGGACAATTTCAGACATTTGGAAAATAGCGTCGGACAAGTCCGGAATATACAGTCGAAATCCCATCACTGCTGTGAACTCCAGTAAATGCGATTTCTGTGCTGTGAAATTTTCGGTAAGCACTTTGATATTGTTCTATCAAACAATTATGTTCAACGTAATTGGTGAGCAATGTATTTTACAAGACTTTAGATATAAAACTAAGGTTTGATAGTAGCTTGTAATTTTTTAACAGATCGCAATCAAGATTTGCCTTTTTAATCAAAGAACACATATCAGCAATTTTAAAACTGTTCAGAAAAATGGATTCTAGAAGAGTTGGAAAGGGTTCCAAGGTTCAGGACGATGATGTGATGTGATTATTTTTGAGATATCCTCTTTCTTTAAGGGCTGGAAGCAAGACAAGCAAACATTGGGTGATACTTGTAATGGTAACTCATAGTAACACTCAGAACTAATGGTAGACTATCCCCGATAATTGAAATTTTGTTTAAAAAAAAAGTCCGAAAAATCATTTAAGTTTAGATTATGAAAAGGAAGTATTGTTAAGAATATTTTAGTAATAGTGTGTTATCTGGGTATGTGCAGTTCTTTCATGTTACATGTAAATGTTGAAACTTTTTTGTTCACTAGCAGGATACCCGGGTTCGCCTAGGGCCTAAATTCGCTGGGAGCCCAAATTTTTAAGTGGCCCAAAATCGCAAAGGGCCCAAAATTGCCAGGGGTCCAAATACACCTTGGGCCCAAATTCGATGGCCTAAAACATTCACAGGGTCATGCTGGTTAATTTCAAACCACATATGTTGTGGTGGAGTCTGCCGACAAAACATGATTCATCCAGGGCCCAGGCCCAAATTCGATGGCCTAAAACATTCATGGGGTTATGCTGGTTAATTTGATACCACATATAATGGGGTTGAAGCAGTGATGGGATTTCAAAATTTTCTTTTCTTGTTGGACATATTTTCCCAAAAATAAAGAAACATAACTCTTATCGTTATTTGGAGGCAGACCACCATTAATTTCCCCATTGACTTCAATGTTAATTCTGGCCTCTTTGCCCACCTCCAACTTTTCCCCAAATTTTCGTTGGGCTGAATGCTTTTCACTACAGACAGAGGAACAAATGGTCATGTCTTTGCACTAAAATTTGTATGAGGTTGACCACCAAAATTTTGAGATACACAAACTTGAAGAAGCATACTAAAAACATGTAACTAGTTGCCGTACATATCGCCGTAGCTTGCTAACCTGATAACCCTCTTATCCTTCCGCCTCAAAATCATGAATATTTACCAAAACCTGGCAGAAAATGTTAATTCAAACCCTCTTCGTCCATTCTAGACCAAAAAATCAACACAAATGGGCATGCAGAAGGGGAGAAAAGAGAGAGAGAGAGAGAATTGCTATAAATAGACGAACAACAATTCGTGGGTACCGAGATGATGAAATTTAATGGTGGTCTGCCTCCATTTAAGCAGGCGTTTTCAGACCACAATTAAAAATCATGTGTCAATATTCCTACAAAATTACGTGTTGTAGTAATATGATAGAATGAAAGCGTGCCGACCCGTACCTGTTTCAAATTCCTCCAAAATTACTGTATTTTTCGGGGTATAAGTCAATACATTTTTCAGCGGAAGTCCGGCATTCGACTAATACTTCCTTCCAAATTACACACGGAAGTTTAAAAAAATACATCCTGAAATTTATTTGGAAGTAACCGTCACTCTATCACAATGAGCGAGTGACATCTGCTAAAAAATCGCAATCGACCCTAGCACGCACTATCGTCTAAAACAATTAACTACTTACATTGTTCCAATCGAAATATTCGTCACAATTTTTTAGCGTGTTTATTTATCTAAAAACATACATGTAAACCCGATTCAAAATATCATCATAAATCCGAGAATATGCCATCAAAATAGAATCTTTAGACGTGTTAGATTCGGCACGTTTACATCCCTTAATTTCACGTGTCTCGCGAGATTTCTACTTTCATTTCAGTATTGTACTCTTAATTTCACGTGTCTCGTGAGATTTCTACTATCATTTCAGTTATTGTACTGCCACCTGCGATCAACAAACAGTCTAGTATTTATCGGATATGCATGTGTGTTTAATAGCTTTATTTAACTTCAGCTTCCAGCGAAGAAATATCACAGACAAGTTATCAGACACAATGTATATTGATTTGGGGTGTTATATACTATTAGGATATGTGACATATATGACTAATTCCTATGTGTTGTCAACCGACATCAAGGAGATTGAAATGGCCGACATTGGGGAAATCACGAGATAAACATGTAGATTAAAAATATAATCAATCTTATTGGATTGATGAATAGTCCAACAAACAGGAAGCAATGACTTCTGTTTAAGATTAGATTGATGAATTGTCAGACAAAGGATTAAGTCAGTCAAACAAGGCAGATTAAGTAGTTAATCAAGGTAGGTCTATAGACGGTATAACACGATAAATACGTTGATCACTTAATTACCTAATCAATCCAGCGTATTATCAACGATAATCGGGTTGAGTGGTAGTTATACACTCAGTAAACTATATTAATTTTGGAATTTTGAATATTATTCACCATGTCTTGATGTCCGATTGGGCATATTCCCGGTCGGACAATTTTGGGCGTTTGGAAAATAGCGTCGGACAAGTCCGGAATATACGGGCGAAATCCCATCCCTGGGTTGAAGCGCGGCAACAAATCGTGATGGGCAAACATACATATACATACACACATTTTTGATTTTATTTACATAGTCTGTCTTACATGTGTACAACATGGGGGGTTTGATGACCGAATGGTTAGCATGTGCGCGCTGTATCATAAGGTCTGTCATTGAGTCAACTGGCGTGGTTTCTAATCCCTGGTTGTATGTGACAAGGAGTAGGGTCGCCTGTCCATCCTCGGGGGTTTTCTCCGGGTCCTCCCACTGCTAAAGACCCCTATGCGCAAGCGAATTATTGAAATAAAACTTAACCATATGTTAGTCCCGAAATGAACTAGTTTGTGTCGAGTGGACGTTAAACCTCATTTCTCTCTCATGTGTACAACACAATGGTGACCATTTTCAAATTCATAAATTCAGCTTCACTATAAGTATCCCGAAATTCCGAAACAAGAACTGTTCTTTGTAATGAATATATTTTCCCTAGCCTTTGCATTGAATTATAAACAAAACAAAGGCATTTTATCCTGTCTGATGGTTTGAGTTAGTCAAAGGTCACAAATAGTACTTAGCACCAAGAGAAAAGCTTGTTACTAAGTGACAGGTTTGCAATAGAATAGGATTCCACTGAAGAACTAACCTTTTTTGATATGTTTTTCCTTGATTTCTTTGATTTCTGAAACTATTTTAGCTGGCTGTGCTTCCAATTCTGCTCCACCAGAACCTTTTCTTGAGAGTGATGCCTGCCAAAAAATGAAATACACAAAATAATACTTGTAGCTTGGAGAATCATATCAAGACAAACTATACGTGGATCCAAGCTTCAGAAAAAAAATTGTGTCAAATAAAATTTCAAATAAAATTAATATCGCTGACTTATTAACTTAGCACTATTTTATCTCTTTCGGTGAACGGCTGAGCGAAAATTTGCTGTAAATCAATTTCAACAAGTACCTCTATTCGCACAGATATTATTCTACGTTATAAATTTTATGATGCTTACAGTGTATATAACTAAAATGAAATGAAATGGGGTTTAACATCCTAATGTTCTGCTCCGACTGGGCTTATGGGGACGGACATACGACATAGTGTGCTATGAGGGAAATTTTGCCTGGACAGCAGCGCTACAGTCTACTCTTATATCGAATACCAACTGCCAAGGGATCTTTTACCTGCAAGTCAATGTGTACATGAGACCTTGGTTTTTTGTCCTGTCCTAATGACTAGACAGCTGTCCTTGTCAGGCCCTCTGTTCTGTACCACTGACAAGGGTAAACCACTCTGGAAAATCCTGATGAACTTTCTCAACCAACGCCGGGAGCATACCCGTGACCTCCAGACTTGCGAGCCAGAGTCTTACTCAGTTGTACTTACATGTGGTTTTGTAAAATCTGCTTTAGCACCATCTGATTTCCGTAAATCGCCTCTTACAGGTGGTGGTCTCTCGGAAGGTAGTGGTGGTGCCTGCGTCTTTATTTTTGGAGATGTAGGTATGGTTGATTGTAGAGGTGGTGGGGGAGCTGTAGCTTCTAGTCGAGGCGGTAAAATGGGTTTGTGAGGAGCTGATAATTAATTTGCAACAAAACCAGTTTAAATTAATTTCTCAATATCATTTCAAGATTTGTTTATATCAATATAGAATTTATTTCATTTAAAATAAGTTTAAAATAAATTGTCAAGTTTATCATTTCTATACACTGACATTCATTTTTTTCTGTGTCATCACTTCTTTACACTGCATCTTTCGGGACCCTTTAATTTAAATGGTTTCATCTATATGTACTTAAATGCACAACAAATTCTGCTTTTCCTTAGACTCAAATGAAAATACCTAATAGGCAAGTATTAAAAAATTCACAAGATTTAAAAGTCAAAATCAGACTAGCAATGGAAATTGGGAAATGCATTCAAAATTTTTGACAACATTGAATTCAATATGGTCCTTCCTTATACGTTTAAAATTTCAAAATTTACGAACTTGAGAAAATCTTAACATAAATGGGAAGATACCTCTGAAATTTATGATCAAAATTTTTTTAAATTTCAATAGGGCTCTTCCATATGACCATAGATATTTCTTGCTCATTTGAAATATATAAGAACACAACGAAACATATGTCTACCAACAGCTAAGTCGTCATAGCAAATATGAACCAAAGCACTCCAAGAAATTTCAAGAAGGCCTGATCATAAGTATACAATCAATATAATTTATCCATATCACTTTTGGTAACATGAAACATGAATTGAAGATGGACTCACAAACGGGCACCCAGGGGTAGTAGCAATATTGGATATTGTGAATAAAATGTCTCTTATTGACAGACGAATGGATAGCTATAGCATACTAAACTGTATAATGCATTTAATTGTTAATGCGTTGACAGGATAGGATACATTTAAATTAAAGATAGGTTGCCAGGCAATGAAACATACTCCCACAGCAGCTAAATCGTCCGGGCAGTCAACAAGTGTTGTCGCATATTTTTACTTTTTTCGGTAATGAAGCATTTATAATACACTAAAATCTGATTAAGAGTAACAACTCATGAAGTAATTATCAGAAAACCATTAGAATTTGTTTGGTTTTTATAAAGTTCTGCCCCATGCTAACGTTTAGTATACAAAACTTTTAATATCATGGATTTAGCTGTTCAAGTCATAAAAATCCATTGAAAATCTATATACATACTTGTTTGTCTCAAGATCTTAAACGCTGTGTATCAATCTTAAGTCATAACTTTGGCAGTAATTATCGGATATCGTTGAAAATCAATAAGATTCTTTGTCTCATGACCTCAAAAACTGTGTATAAATTTTAAGTCAATCGGATATGAACTTTAGCCTGTAGAGCATCCACAAGATTTTTTGAAGTGATCAAGGGCCATAACTCTGGCAGTAATTATTGAAAATCACTGAAAATGAAAAGACTTCCTCGTCTCATGACCTTAAACACTGTGTATAAATTTAAAGTCAATCGCATATCAACTTTAGCCTCTAGAGCGACCACAAGATTTTTCAAAGTGATCAAGGGCCATAACTCTGGCAGTACTTATCGTAAATCGCTGAAAATCAACACGCTTCTTCGTCTCATGACCTTAAGCACTGTGTATAAATTTAAAGTCAATCGGATAATAACTTTGGCCTCTAGAGCGTCCACAAAATGTTTTGAAGTGATCAAGGGTCACAACTCTGGCAGTAAGTATCGAAAATTGCTGAAAATGAATAGACATCTTCATCTCATGACCTTAAACACTGTGTATAAATTTAAAGTCAATTGGATATTAACTTTGGCCTCTAGAGTGTCCACAAGATTTTTTGAAGTGATCAAGGGCAATAACCCTGGCAGTAATTATCGAAAATCGCCGAAAATGAATAGACTTCTTTGTCTCATGACCTTAAGCACTGTGTATAAATTTAAAGTCAATCGGATATTAACTTTAGCCTCTAGAGCGTCCACAAGATTTTTAAAAGTGATCAAGGGCCATAACTCTGGCAGTAATTATCTGAAATCACTGAAAATCAACAGGCTTCTTCGTCTCATGACCTTAAACACTGTGTATAAATTTAAAGTCAATCGGATATTAAATTTCGCCTCTAGAGCGTCCACAAGATTTTTTGAATTGATCAAGGGCCATAACTCTGGCAGTAATTATCGGAAATCGCTGAAAATCAATAGGCTTCTTCGTCTCATGGCCTTAAACACTGTACATAAATTTAAAGTCAATCGGATATTAACTTTAGCCTCTAGAGCGTCCACCACAAGCAATTGTGGACAGACGGATGGACGGGGGCGACGACAATAAACGACCACATTTCAATGTGGGCGTATAAAAACAAATATTAGTTCACCTTTGTTTGTAACTGTGGTATTTACATCTAAAGACAAGTTATAATAATCTTCATGTCTAGGTATTTCATCTATCTCAAAATCTAATAAAAGATTTAAAAAAAACCCAAGTAATCAACAATTTATTGCATACATAAGACGATGTTGTCTTTAATCGCTTACTATTTATTACAAATATAGAATCCTAATTAAATTCTCGGATTATCCACTACCCACGTCTTTTTCAGTCATTTTTATCTCAGAAAGTGTTGTACGTCTAACTCTTCATAAAGTTTATCAACTTGTACAACAAGCGCTCGATATTCGCATTTGACCTTTGACATCACGCGTGCAGAAATTCCTAATCGTCGGGCTGTCGATTAGGGGAACCCTTACATTTTTGTCCTGTATCCGCTCCATGAGTGTTTTTTGGGGAATTCAGTAATTTTCTAGTAAGATTGGATATCTCTACTTTCCATACCAAAATTGCCATACTTTTATTGGAAATAACCACTCGATAAATACTTTTCTGGGAACCCATCTTTATTAAAGAGGTAGTTAGAGCTTCAAAATCTTAATTAGATACATATAAAGTATAAATCCAGCATGCAATCAGCCCAGTCTTAAACAAATTACATTGACTCTCACACAAAATATCAGACAATGATAATCAGATTTTGTGTCAATTTTTAAATCAAAAGTGAAAACTTGGTTATTTAGGCATTTTCATTAACAATCCAAATGCCATAAATGGAGAACATTTTCTAGCACCTAGAGCATTCCCTGGTAGATTGAATAGTTGTGCAATACAAATATCATTATTATTAGGCCAGACAATAAAAAATATTTCAAGGCACTAAATTTATCATGTTATCTAGGATCATTTATGATTGTCAGTAATGCGGTGGACACACTAGCCGATTCGGCCGAATGAGTGGACACACTAAGACTTGGCGAATGCTTCGACCGATTCACCAATCAATTGCATCATCATTCACGTGATAAGTCACATGATTAAACATGGCGGCAACCAACAAAAACAGGAAGCTAGCTGCAGCTTTGGGGATTTTTTTAATTTTACGCCGTACTCGACGGCGTAGAAAGAGGTGGGAGAATAGGGGTGAGTGAGCAAAGACCTGGATCCGTCGCCGAGACATTCAGGGTATTTTCAACAACCTCGTTCGAGAATTGGCAGAGGAAGACGTTGGTAGTTATGTTTCCTATATGCGAATGTCACCAGCAAATTTCAACCAGTTGTTGGCTATGGTGGGCCCGTCAATAACGAAGAACAACACAAGATTCAGACGGGCTATAAGCCCTCAGCAAAGACTGGCAATAGCCCTCAGATTTTTGGCCACTGGTATGTGTTGAAAATAAATTTTCTACTTTTACTTTTACAAAGGCCCTGGCTCTAGCACTCTAAAATTTTAATACCTACTGCCTGGCACTGACAGACTGGTTGCATGAGAAATATACTTGAATAAATATACACAAGCTTGACTTGAAGTTGGGAGCGCAGTTTAGGTTTTTGTATGGCAGATCACTTATTTCACATATGTATAAAATATACCTGGTGGAAATCAGAATCTAGCCACATAAACAATAAAATAAACAAAAAAGTCAGAATAGCTCCCCCAATCATGGCAGTCAATTAATAGTGATTTCTGGACACCTTTTAGAATTCTATAATGCCGACTGGAAGCTGTGTATTAAATGTGCCACCATACATGTATCTCGTTATAATGCAAATTTTGACGCAGTGTGAGACTCCTACTGTACTTCTGTGCTTAGATTTTCTGCGCATTGGATTTCAGCGATTAAAGAATCCTTATTTTTTGATAATCATGAGTTGAATAGAGTAGTTTCTGTTTGAATATTGCATACTCATTACTGTGCCAACTCCAGATCCTAGCATGCTTTAGTTGAGATATTTGCTAGACAGCCATTATTTATGGCCTTTTCATTATTTATTATTTTTTTTTAGGTGAATCTTACCACAGCCTGAGTTTTTCCTACAGAGTTGGACGAAGTACCATATCAGGCATAATAGATGATACTTGCAGTGCCTTATTTGACACAATGAAGGACGTCTATTTAAAGGTTATTATTTAAATTCATCTTTTAGTTCTGTGTAAATTCAGCAACCTCAATAACTTTGCACAAATGGTAATAATGAAAATAACCAACACAGTAATATACTCTTCAGTAGAATGACTCCATGATGTCATTACTATTTTTTATATATAGCAAAATAATAGAATTTTGATATTTATTCAAGATGATTGTAACATAAATTGATTATGAACAGGTTTCTGTTGCAATGTGAAAATTGTTATGAACAAGGAAATTAATACATGTGTAAAACTAACAAAATCTAAACAACATGAAACAAAATATTTTAATTATTTGAATTGTACATTTCCATTGAATCGGATAAAACATTGAATAATGGGACTCTGTCACTCAAATGGGGTGAACTAGAGCTGTGCATACCGTTTTGATGGTACTGTTGATGTGTTATCGGTGTACCAGTATATGCCGGGAAAGTTGAGGAAGAGGGTGAATGAGTGGGAGGGGCATGGACCTGCGGGAAAAAAATTCCCATTTCTGCCTCATTGACCAGACAATTAATTTTGTGTTTTATCATAGTAAATGTTCTTGCATCAAATTTCTGGAGTGTTTTAGCAAGACAGTTGCAAAAGGCTGCCACCTCTCCTTCCTCACCAGGTTTCTGCTGAGATTGATCATCTGATTTCAGATATTTTTGTAATCCTTCTAAGACAGCTAATTCTGCATCATCCCTTTTTTTTCTTGCAGTTTTAGATGCTACCAGTATTTTTTGTTTTGAAATTGGACGCTTGACTGCCTTTTTCTCTACACTTGATGTGGTTGGTGGAGTTTTAGGTGTTCCTGGGGAATCATTTGTTAAAACATCCTCATCATCATCATCATCATATTCATTGACTATATGTGCATTATTTGTACTATCATTGTCCTCATGAATATCCTCTTCGAGAATCTTAAAATATAAGCAAGATATCTATTTTGATTTGTTCTTATCTCAACAATTCATTCACATTATAGTGATAGTTGCTGTCTTTTATTTCCAGATGCCAGATACAGAAGATCAATGGAAAGAAATTGCCACAAACTTCGAAACTAAGTGGAATTACCCATACTGCATGGAGGCCCTCGACGGGAAACATGTGAGGATAAAAAACCCAGCAAATGCCGGCTCGATCTATTTTAATTATAAGAACTTCTACAGTGTTTTACTTCTAGCATTAGTGGATGCCAACTATAAATTTATTTATGTATCTGCAGGAGCACCTGGAAGAAATGGTGACGCAGGTGTTTATGGGGATTCAACATTGAAAGTCGGACTAGATAAGAACTTGTTTAAAATACCAGTTGCTGGCAAATTGAAAGGCTCAAATGACTTGTGTCACTATCATATAGTCGGAGATGATGCTTTCCCTTTAGGTAAAAACATGATGAAGCCATTTCCTCATAGAAACTTGGCAAGGGATGTTCTACTATTCAATTATCACATTGAGCCGTGCACTGCGAGTAGTCGAAAATGCCTTTGGCATATTGGCAGCCAGATTTAGGGTTTTTCAAACTCCAATTGAGCTGGAGCCAGCAAAAGTGATAAATTTATTGATGGCATCATGTTGCCTGCATAACTATCTAGTTGAAAAACAAGCACCCCAATACATTTCAAATTTAGTTGACAATGATGGCAAATTCGATCGGAACAGAAGTGTAGCTTTAACAGAAATGAGTAGCAATACAAATAGAAACTCTAAATTTAGTGCGAAAACTCAACAAGACAGTCTGAAAAACTATTTTCTGTCAGAAGAGGGTTCTGTTCCTTGGCAAAACAGAATCGTTGATAAAAAAATTGCAACGATCACTTCCGAGCTATAAGATTAAAAAGATACCAATGTTATTACCGCAGATGGGTACAGATTTGCCAAACAGGGTGAAGTTTGCCAAGACAGCAGCATATGACCTACTCTTACTAGCGACTTGTATTTAACACCCGATTCAATCAGTTAAAACTTTTATCTACCAAAGCTCAATTACATTTATTTAATCCGTCTTCATTAGCCCAGTTTAGGAGCAGAACAGTAGGACATTAAACCCCATTTCATTTCATATCATATTTATTTACATTAATGTACATTTATTTACATTTGCTTACATTTATTTACATCTATTATTTATATTTACATCTATTATTTATGTACATTTATTATTTATTTACATTTATTATTTATTTACATTTATTACATTTAAGCCTATTTACATTTATAAGCATTTATTATTTATTTGCATTTATTATTTATTTACATTTATAATTTATTTACATTTATGTATATTTATTATTTATTTACATTTATTTAAATAAATATTATCAAGTTCGGAAATAAGTGACCAATGTATAGTGCTCATCTAATATAAATTAATAATAGTGAATAATATATATTTTTGTTCTCATCCAGTGTTGTTATTTAACATTCGCTGCTAACTTAATCATATTGCAAATGGGCATATTTTCCATTGATGGCTAATTCTGCCAAGATAATATGCTCTACCAATCTACCGTCCTTTTTTTTTAATCTGTCAGATGGACTAGATTGCTCTTCAGTGCTAGTCCTCATCTGACAACGGGACCCCAGTCAGAAAACCCCACAAGATTCACCCCAACCTCCGCCGAGATTCGAACACTTGACCTCCACACTGATTCGTCCATATCGACCGCTCCAACCAACCCCAAACCTATTCTGCACACAGAGATCCATCTACTTTATACTTTGAGAAGTATAAGACAAACATTTTAAAAAAATACATTAAAATTATTTACTTGAAATGATGACGTTGTTGCTTGTGAATTTACCAAGTGGGGCTTGAGGAAATGTAGATTATCTACAACCCATTTTTCTTTAATGGTCATTGATTTACAGGCACTGCCACTTGGTGTTTTCTTCGAACAGATTTTGGACAAGACCGTTCTCAACGACTTCATACGTTTATCAACATCGACTACTGTAAAACATTAAAAAAATGCATAAGAATTAAAACTTTTGATCAGTAAATTAATCATGTAAATCAGTATTTCATTTTGTAACAAAACTAAAATTGCTGACTGGCTGATCCAAAATGGACACTGGACCTATATTAAAAGTCAAAGACCTATGCACGGTGGACTCTTTGTGAGCATCATACAGTACAGCAGCAATAAAAAAAGACTAGAATAAGCCTACTGTAGTGCCTAGTGGAGTAGGCCCATGTTATGGAATTTATCGTTTGTATCCAGATTGTTTACACACATAGGTGGCCAACAAATTGAATAATATAAAAAGAAATATCCAAAATTATCGTGATGCTAATTGATCCTGATGGAAATTCAAATAGCCTTAATATAGGCCTAATAAAATATGTCAGTGGCCTGCTGACTTTACGGGCGAAGATAGGCTTAAATTTAATAATGGAAATAAATGCTCAACACAAATTGGCGGTACAGAGACATTTCTTTATTCAACCCATCTTTGAAATTTTATGGTGAATGAAAATAGGTCGAACAATGCGTATTACTACTAGTTCAGTTGACTAGTCTAAAAAAAAAGAGATAGGCGAACGCCATAGTGTCGCTCGCCCGACTGGGTTATGGTGTGACTTACCGGTTACTCCTAATTGTTCAGCTATTGATCTTTTAGCAGCCTCCTTCATCGTGCTATCTCTATACTCCGGCAGGGAGGTATTGTATAGACAAACCTTCTCCTCCAATAAGGTAATAAGTTCCGATTCTTTCTCGGAATTCCAAGTCTCGATGACAGTCGCCATTTTGTCTCCAATCACGTGACCTTCGACATCAGCGGTGATTGGCTAACGAATTCTACATACGGGCGAATGCTTCGGCGAAGTGGCGCATCAGCCGAATATGATTTGGCCGAATAAAAATTCGACCGAATATATCAAACATGTTTGATTCGGGCGAATGACAGTGGACACACTAGGCAAATTTCGACGCCGATTGATTCAGCCGAATCATTCGGCTAGTGTGTCCACCGCATAACATTTATCAGGTTTGTGTAATTGTGCTACATTTCTAGATTCATTCAAATTTTTTTATCAAATTACTTCCTGAAACTGGGGTAAAATCATTTACGTGCGGTAATTAATAGAGGATATTTGTCGTTTTAGGGTGAATAACATATTTTATTTCATCGAGAAGCAAGAAAACTTATATTTTCACGAATGCATAGCATTCGTGAAAATATAAATGTTTTCTTTCTTTGAGATGAAATAAACGTTTTTATTCTTTGCGATTAAAACAGGTCATGCGATCCTTTTTAAGAAATTCACGTGTATTCTTTGATAAATTCAAGTGTAGCAGGAATATCTGAGAACCAAATATTTTTTTTTATATGACCTTCAATTCAATACTTACTAGTTGTGATAGCAGCTAATAAAATACATGGCAGACCACCTTCCCACCGACTATAGTAATATATCAGATGCTCTAGCGATAATAAGTATGGTCCCTTATCAATAAAATAGCAATGTTTTTTTAGTTCTCCCTGAAAATAAAATAGTACATTTCTTCTCTGTCCTCCTTATGAATAGTCCAACAATTCCAAAAATATCCAAAGGCTCAATTTGTCATTTGTATTTACGTTAAATATGTACTCATATTGATTATCTAACTTTTAAAGATGTATTATGTAAGATTTAGATATATTGAAAATTTCATTCAAATTACTTTATTCTGGGTGAAGTTATGACTGTTTGAAGATGTAACTTAGATTTGGTTTATAATCTTAGCAATGTTACTGGAGAACCAAGACTAAAACTTGATCATTTGATGCTCTAGAGAGTTGATTGTAGGTTTGTCATTAAAATAAATGTCTAAATAATTTATTTAAGATTTGATGACAGAAAAAAGACCCGAAATAGAAAGATTTAGCTCTTACACAATGCATCTTTAATTAAGAAAACAAAATCAAAACGCATAGATAATCTCCTGGGTTGGATTCAATCTTATTTAAACTGGGCCCATCAGGTGAATCATAACAAGCCAACAATGAGGCTAATGTCCCCCACCGAAATCCCGAAATAAATAGATGACACATATTAATTGCACGTTTATCTTTTTTAAAACTATCGGGCAATCAAACTGATTATCACCTATAAACTAAGCTTATCGCTCTGCTTACCTTCAGGAGAAAATGTTCATTATCAAACTTAGTCAAGATATTGATGTGATGAAACTATACACCAAGTTTCATCACTCTCACTTAATTAGAACTGAAGTTATCGTGTCCCAAAGCATCAACCAATCAAATTGCTTACCCCAAACAGAAAGTTTCGAATTCGAACTCCATTAAGGCATCGGCTTAATAAACACCTACACCAAGTTTGAACATTCTAGCTCAATTAGAAGGAGAGTTATTGTGTCCTAAAGTCTCAACCAATCAAATTGCTTAGCGCTCTGCTTACCCTCGGAAGAAAATGTTCATTATCGACCTTAGTCAAGGTATTGATGTGATGAAACTATACACCATCACTCTCACTTAATTAGAACTAAAGTTATCGTGCCCCAAAGCATCAACTAATCAAATTGCTTATCTCTGCTTGCCCGGAGCAAAAAATGCTTATCTTCGAACTCCATCAAGGCATCGACCTAATAAACACCTACACCATGTTTGAAAATTCTAGCTCAATTAGAAGGAGAGTTATTGTGTTTCAAAGTTTTGACCAATCAAATTGTGTATCGCACTGCTTACCCTGAGCAGAAAATGTTCTTTATCGAACTTAGTCAAGGTATTGATGTAATGAAACTACACACCAAGTCTGATCACTCTCACTTAATTAGAACTAAAGTTATCGTGTCCCAAAGCATCAACCAATCAAATTGCTTATCTCTGCTTACCCTAAGCAGAAAATGCTCATCTTCGAACTCAATCAATGTATCAACCTAATAAACACCTACACCAAGTTTGAACATTCTAACTCAATTAGAAGGAGAGTTATTGTGTACCAAAAAGTGTGACAGACGGACCGACAGACAGATGGACGGACAAACCCATTTTAATAGTCACCTGCTATCTTTGAAAGGCGGGGGACAAAAAGATGGTGGCGTCTTGTTAATAGCGAGCAGCACAGACCGATGTAATTTCAAATTATCATAACTTTGTCAATACTGAACGGAATTGAGCTGTTATGGGGCTGATATTTTACAATCTTGTAGTCTGCAAGGGATTCCTATAGCACTAAATGACACATCAATCCTTTAAAGTAGCAATATTATTAACAATTTATAAAAACAACAAAATTATTCTTTCCATGGAGTAATGAAGTAGGGTATAATGGTCATCTACACCCTCATTAAATCTTACACTCTTTTCAAATATGTTAGAAGAGATAAACAAGTATTCAAACACTTACATCAAATTTATTTTTGATGACATAATTATGGGGTTCTCCCATGTAACATACACTTAACACATACGCCGATGCTGGGTCTCTTTTAGTGCTCGTTCGAATCAAAAACAACCCATCTCTCTTTCCCTTTACTTCAAATAACTTGATGGCACCCTAAAACAATAAAACATGTATGTATATATCGCCATATTTTATAAAATGTCAATAATTTCAGTTTATCACCTTTTAAATGTAAATAAACATGCATAAAAAGTTGGAAATACCCCCTGAGTATTAATTTGACATTTTCTAATCAATATCATTAGAATTTTTTAGCATAAATACAGTACCGGATTTACAAAATAAATTGAATGAGCTGGTTCAAACATACATCTATATACCCATGAAAACTTGTTAAAAAGTGTTGGTCTATAAAAAGGTTGGTATATAATACAGACCACCCTTTTTAGCAAGTCTTCATGGCTATATAGACTCTATATGTTGTTGCTGTTTATTACAATTTTAATTTCCAATATATTAATTATGATATTTTATTTAAATTAAGAATATTTACATATGAAGGAGGCACAAATATGTAAAAAAAAAAAAAAAACATAAAAGAAAGTTTGTGTTCTTTCGGTAGTGCATGTTTTTATAGCTACGGGGACAATTGGGTGCTATTCATTTACCCTTGCCAACTCTTTTTCTCATTCAAGCTTATGCCTTTTTGAAAATGCATTATACAAGAATACTAAATAAAACATAAGTACTATGTCACAAAGTATCCACTAATTTACTCAAATAGCAATTTTGCAGATGACGAACCACCATGACATGTCCGATGCTGAATGATAACCAGCCTATTGGTACTCTCTATATAGTTGACATTATTTATATTTCTGCTTTATTAAAATTTATTTCAGCCTATTGGTACTCTCGATATAGTTGACATTATTTATATTTCTGCTTTATTAAAATTTATTTCAATCAGAAAATCAATAAGTCCTTTGGAAAATCAAAGTATCTGTAGATTATTAACAATTCGTCAAGATGCATATAAAAATTGAACAAAAGCAGGTATTGGTCGGGTGGAAAAGTAAGCGTGAAGTCACGTGAGAAAAACAAAGCTCTTTAACAGCGTTTGCAACTCTGTGAAATGAACACTCAGGAGCAGGGCTTTCACTTCAAAATTTTCACTGCCGGTCATTTTTGATAACCCGAGAAAACTTTTCAAAGTAAATTTATATTTCATGTTTTTTTATTTATGGTAGGGTATTGTGAATTCACGTGCCTCTACCTTTTTGTCAGCATGGGGTACACAAAAAAATATATATTGGACTTAAAAATGAAATATTAGTATGGCTTATGATAATTATACTCAGCCAAATTAAAAACTTGACACTGATGAATTTCAACAAATTTTTTTTTCTGGTAAGTCAAATAAATTTTAAAGTGTTTCTAACGATAGTAAGTAGTAAGAAGCCTTTAATTTCATAAAATTGTAAAGTCACGTGGATCACGTGAATCTCGATTCTCTTTGAGATTTGCCGATGACAGGGCCCGAGTGTGGCAGTACGAGACGCTAGAGGAGGCCACAACCGTTACTAAACACTTTATTCTGATTGTTCTCCAAGTCTGTGTATTTCATTTTGGGGGGTACTGTGACATCACGAACGTTATCAATGTCAAGGACTTTTGGCGAGACGTATTCTTGCTTTCTGTTGATGTCAAGGTCGTCTGTGCACAACATAACACTAAAATAGTTGCCTTAAACCAAATATTAAAAATCTAGTATATATTTATTAATTAAATATTCCCTTTTGGCTACTTAAATAACGAAATAGCTGAATTGGCCATAGAAAAACCATTCCAGTGGCTCACAAGTAATTACCATGTGCTCTAAACACTGACCTGGATAATTTTGAGTTGTTGTAATACAATAACTTTGAAATGAAGATACATATATAATTATCCACGGCATATATCTTACATTTATTGGTTTTAGACCATCTCTTACGGGATTATGGGCCGCAGAATTGTGACGTAGATCCTAATGATGTATAACTATGACCAACTGATAACTAACTTCACAGCTAGCGACACTAGCACCCCCTAGAATATCGTCGTGTATAAGAGTAACTGTATATACACAACATTTTTGCTACACGTGGAATTATCAATATTGCTGCACAATAGAACTGGAATACGTAATTTTCTTAATTTTTCGGTAAGCAAGTTAACTAATCTCTAGATTTTACTTCTACAATTACCACAAGGCCGTAATACCGCTGTAAAAATTATAATGCATTTTTCTCCCAACACGTACGTTGTTGAAGATTTACGTAATTTCTATGCTGTTTTTATTTGATATGACTGTTGATTGGATTCAAAGAGCAGTACTTCATATCAATTGCCCTTTTCCGAAGATCATTGTTGTAGAAAATTCTTATGACACGTGGACAATACGTGAATGATTAACAATGGACCGCTTCACGCCATTGATTAGATTCCCACATATCAATTAACTTTTATTGCTCTACTACCAGACACTCAACATTAATTATCAACACAACACTCAGTATAATCTGTTGACGACTGTATACAACTTTGTAACACCAATCACGAGATTATGTGGCTTCTATACGTGTGGAATTTTCTGTACTGGCTGTACAATTGTATAGTTACATAGTGGAAGTCGATCGTAGACATGTTTGAAAATTAGGTTTTGAATAAAAAGGCTTTCTTTCCGGCTCTAGTTATGGTCATTTTCCATAGCCCTAGGTTCTGACCGGCATATACGCTCAGGAGTATATAACAGCGGGGCTGCTGACAACCAGTATCACAGCTCAATTTGCGATACATATTTTGTCCGTTGCTAACCAAAAATTAATATGCCTGTCATTTTGGATATTGACACGAAGATTTATCCACATTTCTCAACACTTGCAACGTGTATAAAATATCAAATAAATTTTATAAACAAAACTGAATTCTCCGTGTTACTGTGACATTTTCTTCTTGAACTACCCAGACTCAATTCATTATACTATATAATACAGGGACATAACTCTATGAATTGGGACTATTAAACCGGAAATAGTGAATCAAGTAGTACCACTCATGTTGCGAGACATGTCAATTTCAAGTAATTATATCAGTATTCAATTTGAAAAAAATAAATTCAGTGTATTCCCCAGGTATTGTAAATAAAATATAAAATATAAATACATGTAAACGTATTGTAAAATGAGAAATCAAAGTAACAATTCCCGTAAAATATTATTGTTTATATCGCGTGCGTCTTGTTAATCGAGATTATTCGTAAAATACTGTGTGCGTCCGATTGAACAAAAATAGCAACACACGATAAAAAGCAGACGAAATTGTTTTCTAACGAAGAAATAAGAATTAAAATGAGTGGGACTTCGGAAGCCACCCAAGAATAGGCTTCAGACATAAGGCCTAATCAAAGTCTACATTCAGAAATGTTCACAGCTACCTGTAGCAGTGCTAAAATTCTAAAAAACCTTAAGAATGAAATCTAATCATTTGTTATAAATTAAAATTAAAATAATCTTGTTATTTAAGTGTTTTATGTTGAAACTGAAAAACTGCTAATCAATTTTTAAATTTGCTAATCAAATTTATCAAATTTGGCAAAATTGGACTTTCACTGCTAATCATCTGTGAAAAATTATAGACAGCCCTGTATAACAGTATTTATTCATCATTAAACATACATTATGAAAGAGCTAAATCTGCCTATTGCAGGTCTTTCTTTAGGCCTGAAATGTTATATAAACTATTAATTAGACATTTATTAACAAAACAAAACCATAAGCGACTCTCGATGGCATCGGATACTCAAGATTTTAACTAGATTAAAACGGTTCGCCATTTAAAAATTTAATTTAAAAATGGGAAAGCGAGGCCAAGTTCTGATTATACCAGTGCCCTGGTTACCACTGTGCACACATCTTGTCAAAACTACAAACATGGCTAACTTGGCTGAGAATGAAGTAATTTGAATTATTATAGCAAGAATGACCAACTCTTTATTAATCTCTTAACTAATGTATCTTTAAGCAATAACATATTGCAAATAGCATAAAGAGGAAGACATTTTTACAATTTAATTTCAATAATTTGATTGCACGTAGGGGTCTTTAGCAGTGGGAGGAAACCGGAGGGCCCAGAGAAAACACACAAGGTTGGACAGGCGACCCTACTCCTTATCATGTACAACCTGAGGAATCAAAACTGCGCCAGTTGACTCGATGACAGACCTTATGATACAACGCACACACGGGGGAGTTTTATCTTCATCCATATATAAGTTGAAGTGAAGTATAAGACGATGGCTTTACTTCCGCAAAAAGAAGTAAGTTGTTATTGGTGAGAAGCAGCGGTGGGTCAGTGAGTAAGATGCTGGCGGACTAACCACGCTATTTTGGCTGAAAAAGTTCCTCTTGATTTTCCGTCGCAGTTATCCCTTGTTGTCGGTGTAAGGACGGTGTCTAGTTGTTTGAATAAGACGAAATACCATGGTCCTGTGTACACATGGGCATGCAAGTACAAAAAAACCAACCAAACTTAGTGCCACTGTCCAGGAGAAAATTTCCCTCGTAGCTCACTGTTTTATTAGCCCAACAGAAATGTAGGATCATAGTTATTGCCGAAAAAACATTATTGATAATTAGGATATTTTAGCATTCAGTAATTCGACTTACCTCTCTATCCAACTCAGAATGATAGTAGACACGAATTTGTTTAATTACTTCAGGCAATTTATACTTCTCTGTAGAAAAATAAACAAAATTAGAATAGATCATCAACTAATTATAACAAAGAATAGATTGTCAGTCAATTATAACATAGGACAGACTGTCTAACATTTAGAAGATAGAATAGATATTTTCCGGCATAGAATATTTTCCGGTGTTGTTTCTGTTGTCATGGTGCAGGACAGAGGCATGACACGGACAGCTGTCTAGTCATTCGGATAGGACGGAAAACAGAGGTCACGTGTACACATTGGCATGCACGTAAATGATCCCTTGGCAGTTGGAATTTGATAAAAGAATAGGCCGTAGCACTGCTGTCCGGGCAAAATTTGCCTTATAGCACACTGTATGGCATATGCCCGTCTTCATTAGCACAGTCCGAGCAGAACAGTGGGACAATAAACCCCATTTCATTTTATTTCCATCTAATCTAACATACTTACCAAAATATTTCTGACACTCATTTCGCCCATATGTTTTAGCAAGATGATATGGTGTATTTTTATCTGCATTTCTGGGATATGGACATGGACACAATGATAGCAAAATCTAAATGGTGTAAAAAAAATTCAATAACATTCAAAAAATATTGCTCACATATCCAAACCGTGACCACATAGTATTACAGACTTACTACTTCAAATGAAGATTCTCTTGCAGATATAAACATTTTAAACAACAAAATACTTGATAAATTTTAAAAAATGCTTCCATATTTCATTATACAATTCAAATATATAAGGCTAAAATTCGAAATCAACTAAGACACCAGTTTTATACAGAATACAACATACAATAAATGACAATATAGTAGCTATAGGGTCCTACTGTATTTATTAAATACACTCCAATTGTTTCAATCTAAATAGCTGTTAAGTTGACACTTTTAAAATGTCTTTGAATTCTGACTGCCAGAAAAATTATGGTGGATACATGCACTTAGATGTACCCACCTCCAGACTCTATCTCCTGTAGCAACTATTGATGTTTTAAGGTTGCTATTCCCTATATCAACCTTTTATCAAGTCATTATGGGTTGATATTGAGGTAATATTGACTTCCAATAACCGCATGCTTTAAATTTCACATGTACAAGGTAAGCTGTAGTTGATACTTAGTGATAATCTTTATAGTTTGTGACAATGTATAAGTCAGATAGCAACCGCTTTCCGATTGTTATCTGAAATAAAACCTGCGTGCTCTGCCCTTAGGATTATTATTTCGCAAAACAACCAGGAAATCGGTTGCTGTCTATTACATGTACTTATTGGCTAATTTCTAGGCTTAATAGTGCAAAATCGCTGTTAGGAAACACAAGCAGTTATACCTTGACAGATTTAATGTGTCCTCTCATAGCAGCTTCATGTAAGGCTGTCCATCCATTATGCGGAGATTCATCAAATGGATCAGATTTACCAGTTTGTGTTAATAAATGAATAGTATTGTCATGATCAGTTACTGCAGCTCTCTGTAAACATAAACAGTGGTAAAACGTTTTTCTCCACTGGAAAATGTTATTAATACATTTAATTATTAAGAGAAACATTGGTAGTGAGCACCGACATTGTATCAAAATATGTGACGTCATAATGTATGACGTCATGTAGTCCAGACGTAGTTCACTTACATGTACCTTTAGAATAGTATACTGCTAAAAAAAATTCACACTTACAATTCACACTTTTTTATTCTTTATATGAATAAAGCTGAAAATGGATGGAATAGCATCATTTTTGTTTTTTAAACTTGCAGCCCCCAAAATTCACTATCCAAGTTTTGTACATTTAACCGTATCAATATTCCAAAACCAAAGAATTGCTTTGTGTCTGTCTATTGGTCTTTTGTTTGGGATTGAAATCTTAAAATAGGTCACATTCCAATTTTACAGGTCATATTTAAACACTCAAAAGCTGGACATTTAGGTATATCATCTATAAGCCATAAAGGCTAGTGCACTCTGACGTCAATAATTCACAGACGTAACTACTAATCTTAATTTTGATTGGTTGAGACATATCGATGGGTGGGAATATGGTGCCACCCAATGTAGATTTTGATCTTTAAAATTTTACATTTGTTTAATTCTTCAACACAGATGTTATTTTTAATAGTGTATTTATCATGACTAAGAAAAATAATCTGATTGGGTGAACTTTTCATTTAAAAGTATAAATATGCACAGAAGAATAACTCTCAAAGATAGGTTGCCAGACAACGAAACATACGCCCACAGCAGCTAAGTCGTCCGGGCAGTCAACAAGTGTTGCAGCATATTTTTTCTTTTGTCAGTAATGAGAACATTTACAACACATGAAAATCTGATGAAGAGTAATAACCGATGAAGTAATTATTAGAAAACATTAGAATTTGTTTCGACTGTTTGTCTCAATATTATTATTATTTTTAAGAACATTTATATAGCCCAAATGCGCATTACAAAGTAAGTAGTAAAAACAACATAAAACAAACAAAGTACAATACAATAATTCAGAAATAAAATAAACTAACATAAAATTTTAAAAACTTATACATAAAACTGTAAATAATATAATATAAGAAAACTATTGAATAGAGAAATAAGACTATTTAAATATCACGATCTGGATTAAAATATACATTCTTTAAAAAATACTTTAATTATAAATTAAAAGCTTCTTTAAATAAATGAGTTTTAATATTTTTCTTAAAAATTGTAATTGTTGTCGAATTTCTGATGTTAAAAGGTAATGAATTCCAAACGTTTGGTGCATGAATACTGAATGCTCCATCACCTATTGTTTTTAATCTTGATCACTGTTGACATAACAGTAAACAATCAGATGAGGACCTCAAAGTTCTAGAGGGTGTGTAAATTTGAATTAAATCGCTCAAGTATGAAGGCGCATTTAAAAACTAAGAGAAGCAATTCATATGCGATTCTAAAACAAATGGGTAGCCAGTGTAATTTAATTAATATAGGGGTTATATGATCGTTATGTTTCGATTTTGTGATAAGCCTAGCAGCTGAGTTCTGTACCATTTGAAGTTTGTGAATTAAATTATCAGGGATACCAGCTAAGAGAGAGTTACAGCTGTCTAGTCTAGAAGTTACAAGTGAAATTACAATGGTTTTTATAACATCAGGGGCTAAATTTGTACGAATTCTACTTATGTTTCTGAGATGAAAGTAACATTGCTCATGACCATATAACTGTCAACAAATACACCAATGTTTCTGGTTAACTCAACAGGTTTGATAATATGTTAACATCACTTTTTAATTTCAACACAGACAATTTGGATCCAAAAAGGATGTACTCTGTTTTATTGTCGTTTAATTTTAAAAAGTTAACAAACATCCAGGATTTAATTTCTGATATACACATTTCTATTTGTTGCTTTGAATAATTAGACGAGGCAGGATTAAAAGGGATATAGCCAGGTCTCCGTTATGGCAAACAGGTCACATTCGGAATTAATAAGAGTACACCAACACTACCCTAAGTTTACAATTTTTAGTTGATACAATAGAATCGAGATATTCAAAGGAAGACAGATTTAAACGTTCTGAACATTTACGGAGATGGTTGATTTGTATATTAGTGAGACACCACCTCCCCTCTTAAGCCGAGTAGCATTCTTAAAGTTGTAGCCCTTTGAGACTAGAGATGCCAATGTAACATTGTCACATTGTCATTGACAGTACCTAGCCAGGTCTCTGTTATGGCAAACAGGTCACATTCGGAATTAATAAGAGTGTCATTTAACTCTGAAGCTTTGTTGTTCACAGATCTGGCATTTAAAAGTAGAAACCTTGAACTTTTGTGTTGTAAAGGCCTTTTACGATTTTTGGTTCTGCACATGGTTGCGTATTTGGGAAACACGAACAGGAATTGCTTGTCTGCATTTTCGCCCAGCAGAACAAGCTCGCCTGGTTCGCTTTATTACTGACTTTGTAACATGTTTGAGGAATTGAATCTGGTTCTTATTCAATAAGTCATATGTAGAGTATTGTAAAAGTTTGTCCTTTGAATATAAACTGGTCATATTGAGAGTTGTTCAGTGAGTTTGTTTAATAAAGAGAACTCACTCACCACCTAGACAGAGTTTGTGTTCAATGATACACATGAATGATCACTATAAATAACCATATAACATCTTAATTCTCCAATAATTCACAAATTTCAAAAAGTTTCACTAAAATTACCTTATTGATGAGTACTATATAGTCATAGAATTATCAATGCAAAAATTCAAACACTTAAATGAACGTGAAACTGTAGAATTTCTTAAGAGAAAGAACGAGCAGCCTTATGCTCTAAAGTCCACTATCATGACCTTAAACAATTTATATTAACTTTAGCCTCTAGAGTGAATGAATGAATGGAATGGAGTTTTAGCCTCTAGACCGTCCACAAAATTTTTCAAAGTGATCAAGGGCTTTAACTCTTGACAGTAATTATCTGAAATCGTTGAAAATTAATAGGATTCTTTGTCTCATGTACTTAAACACTGTGTATAAGTTTAGAGTCAATCAGATATTAATTTTAGCCTCAAGAGCTTCTACAAGACTTTTCAAAGATAAATAATCCCAAGAAGGAGACGATAAAACCTCACACTTGATAGGAAAAGAAAGGCGGAAGAGTCCCTATAACAGTGCAGGCAAGTTTTGATCTCAGTGATGCATCCGAGGAAAAAATGGAACCATTCCGTATAGATAAATCATAGTAAAAAAATCCCTGGTAACAAACTAGACAAGACTGTGTGTATATAAAAAGGATTTATCTAGGATAATATATTCACACGTTGTTTTTAAATCGGACATAAATTGTGACCTCTACAGGGACCACAAGCTAAAAACGTGATTTTTTGTTCAATCAAGGGCCATAATTCAGGAAGTTATGATCCGATATACGCGATTATCAAAAGGAACCAATATCTTTGGGTTATAAACATAAATTTCAAGTTTCATCGAAATCGGATCAAAATTGTGACCTCTAGAGGGTCCGCAATCTTGATTTCCCAGATGTTTACACTATTTGCGTACGAGGGATGGCCATTTTGTCCGGCAGTTTTGCCCAATTTTCACGAAATTCGAACTCAACAAACATTACAGAGTAACGGTGATATATTCAAACGTTTTTTTTAAATCGGATAATAATTGTGACCTCTAGAGAGACCACAAGCTAAAAACGTGATTTTTCGTACAATCAGAGGCCATAATTCAGGAAGTTACGATCTGATATACGCGAATATTGAAAGGAATCAAGATCTTTGGGATATAAACTTGCATTTCAAGTTTCATTAAAATCGGATTAAAATTGTGACCTCTTGAGGGTCCACAACCTTGATATACCATATTTTTACACTATTAGCGTACGAGAGGTGTCCATTTTGTCCGGCAGTTTTGGTCCGATTTTCACGAAATTCGAAATCAACCATCATTTTGTTCGTCCGCTTCGATTCCATTTTTACGAAATTCGAACTCAACAATCCTTAGGTTGTAAAGGTGATACAGTGCACTCTGTCACATCCGACATCGTACGGGATCGTTACAATATGTCGGATTACGCAGAGTGTCGGATACCCAGTTTTCTTCGCCGTCTTCAGTTGATCGCACTCTTGTCTTTGCTATCACGTGTTCATTGATAATGGGCGTACTCAATAGAACGTTCCGGAATTGAATTCTCTCAATCCCAAAAATATTGACAATCGAGTGAAAATGGATATATATATATCTCATCCAACCATGGAGCAGAAACCTGTTCGTCGTGTTTAATTACGTCATAATTCTACTCACACCACCTCCGTCGTCGGGCCTGACAGAACTGTGACAGGACTGAATTCCGCGTCATTTGATTGTAATTCTGTCAATTCGGGACGTTCTGGACTGTGAATCGAGCATCCCCAGGTTCGAAGAGATCCGTAGGGTGACCAAACTTATAGGTTATTCAGGTTCAGTCGGCATGCGCAACGAATGTTTCCAACAGGTGCTAGGAATATTTTTACTACTGTGAATTCGAGGGAAAATTCGTGGATATTCTTGAGTAGTTGTCACAACTGTCGTACAAGAGATTAAAATTATCAAAGTAATCAACAAAGACCCACGGTAGCGAGTTTTAATCTCACAGATAATTGATTGGTGATTGCTTGTTGATCTGTTGTGGCTTCACACCCACCGATTGAAGGCCGGATTATATGGTGTCGATTCAATGGAAATCGTATGACGGGACGGCTGATTGATGTCGTAATCCGGAACGTACAGAGGTCGAATTACCCAGAGTTTTTTTGGCTGAAGTAATAAGGAAATAAATTGGGACATGAAAATGGTGTCAGATGTAACAGAGTACCGGAGTGATCAGAGGTCGGATGTGACAGAGTGCACTGTATATTCAAACGTTTTTTTAAATCGGATAATAATTGTGACCTCTAGAGGGACCACAAGGTAAAAACGTGATTTTTCGTACAATCAAGGGTCACAATTCAGGAAGTTACGATTCGATATGTACAAAAATGGAAAGGAACCAAGATATTTGGGTTATAAACATGCATTTCAAGTTTCATCTAAATCAGATGAAAATTGTGACCTCCAGAGGGTCCACAACCCTGATACACAATATTTTGTCACTATTTGTGAACGAGGGGCGGACATTTTGTCCGTCCGTTTCTATCCGATTTTTACGAAATTCAAATTCAACATCCTTAGGGTGTAACGGTGATATTCCAAAGGTTTTTTAAATCAGATAAAAATTGTGACTTCTATAGGATCCACAAGCTTTCGTAAAATCAGGGGCCATAATTAAGGAAGTTATGGTCCGATATGCCCGATTATCGAAAGGAACCGAGATCTGTGAGTTATAAACATACGTTTCAAGTCTAAACCAAATCGGATAAAAATTGTGATCTCTACAGTGTTCACAAGCTAAAAATGTGATTTTTAGTACAATCAGGGGCCATAATCCATGAAGTTACAGTCCAATACATGCCAATATCGAAAGGAACCAAGATCTTAGGGTGATAAACCTATATTTCAAGTTTCATTCAAATTGGATAAAAATTGTAACCTGTAGAGTATTCACGGACGGACAGATAGGGTTGACGACAATATATGTCCACATGAAAATGTGGGCGTATAAAAATTTTACCTTTATTATAATAAGCTAACCTTACATCATAGAAATATATACTGTATATTTCTATGCTTACATGTTATGTATTTAAGTCTATGACGTCATCATTCCTATGATGTCATAACTTCTTATAATGTCTTAACTGACTTCCAGTCATTTTGCATTTAGTTCTTCATCCCTAAAGAAGTTAGTATTTTTACTGACGAAACGTTGGATAAAACAATGTTTTTTTATATTGTATTCTATTAATTATTGTATATCACATTTCGGGCGCAGGCTGTTTCGTAACCTGGCTATTTCGTACTTAGTTCATTCGTACCTCACTTTGTACCTCAAATTGATTCGTATTTTTTCCTATGTTGTTGAAATCATTTGAAACAAATTGAATATGCCGAACCAGAATTAGAATACGCACGAGATTTGTACCTCAAATTGATTAGTTCCTTTTCCTAAATCCAATGGCTGGGCTAAAATAAATTTATATAAATGGCTGCCAAACGAGAATTAGAATGCACACGTGATTTGTACCTCAAATTGATTCGTACCTTTTCCACATGTTGTTGAAATAAAATAAAAGAAATTAAAATAAATCTATATGTTGTTGAAAGAAATTGAAATAATAAACGATTACCTGCCTTTTGTTTTTTTTTAATCTGGTGTTATTATCAACCCATTCTGCTTAGTGAGTTGTGATTATTGACGACAATTGATTGGTGATTGTTAAAGCAGTTTAAAAAAACGGTTGAAAAAGTATTTAAAGATACATAATGGGAGATAAGATAAAGAGATGGCAGTTCTCGCTATAATAGTTAAAAACTAGATAGTGTAAAGGTAATTTGCTGAAAATTTCAGTCAAATTGATCCACTATGAGCCGAGAAAGAAGCGGGTGAAATTTTTGCATAGTCTTGGTAATGCATGTTTAATCTGGTGTTGATTATTGAACCCATTCTGCTGAGTTATGATTGTGATTTGTGATTATTGACGATAATTGATTGGTGATTGTTAAAGTGGTTAAAAGCGATTGAATATACTAAGAATTCTAAAATGTGACACGTAATGTATTATTCATTATATAATGAACCTTAAATCAATTTAACTCACTGTAGAGAGTGCTACGTTGAAGGTAATAGCATCATCTCTTATCTCGAAACACGGAGGGTTGAGAGATAAGGTTTGTTATCTAAGCAAGTCTCCAAAAGGTGCCTATGTGTGAAGATGGGCGTACGCGTTTCTTTGATCTGATATATCACGGGGTAATTCTGTTATTGAAACCGAACTCCATGAAAATGGCTTTCGATCGTAACCGATGTTGGATTTGAACAAATCGTTTAATCATGTTTCACCTTTATTTCAATTTCTTTCAAACACATTTAGGAAAACAAACTAATCTCGTGCATATTCTAATTATGGCTCGGCAGCCACTTTTATACATTTAGCGTAGCCGTTGGATTTGATCAAATAGATTCACCTTTATTTCAATTTCTTTTAACTGATTTCAACAACACAGGAAAAGGTGCGAATCAATTTGAGGTACGAAGTGAAGTAGGAAACGTCTCATGTGAGGTACGAATGAACTACGACACGACACGAAATGGCTTGCCATTTCTTCAATTTTTAATTTAGACGACTAAAACTTAGTGACATACCTGGAATTGCCATCCCATTACTTTCTTACACGAGGAAACCAAATTCAGATCAAGCTATATAACCTCTCTCTCATGAAAAATCATAGTTTGTTTACATCCCGCTGTTGAACATCAGCCATGTTTGACCTAGTTATCCAGAAGAGTCGAAGAGGGAGGGGGCGTTGGTTTGGCTCAAGTCGTTTCGGTCTACTTGGTTGTCAAGGAAGTTGTTCGGCCCAGTAGTATATAACTTTTATTTTTACGGAATCCAAGACCACCGCAGTTTGCCAAACTGATTTGAATATTTAATTGGCCCCGAGGGCTGTAGCGTTTTGATATTCATATAAACTGCGTACAAATTTTATCCTGAACTGCATGTGATGGAAATTTTGACGGGGGCTATAGGCGTACACAATAACTTGGTCCATAATATGCAAAAGTAATTGCAGATTGCATAGTTAATATAAGTTATTCTCTTGCTTACGACATGCCGTTGATTCTGTGTCAATCGGATAATTATTATTTAGTTTATAGGCTAAAAACTGCAAGGCCAAAGGGAAATAATCTGGACAAATATATTTTGAATATTTATATACAGCTGATCAAAACCTATGTACATTGGAAAACTAATAAACTTTTTATAAAAATGTCATATCTCTAGACCTTACTCCCAAAAACCGAGTGGCTTAATGCGCAGTTTCTGCAAAATAAGCGGGTTAAAACAGAACATAATATTAATTCGACCAAAAAACATGATCCACAGTCTGAAACCTAAGTATTACTTCTGCAAAAGAAACGGGCGAATTTTCCTTCACTATATATTTCTAACCGAATGTACCCGATTAGGAGATAACTGTCTACCCTATACGCTAAATGCAAGTCTCCCATTACGCAGATGCACTTGTAATGTTGATGTTTTGAGAAAGAAACGATGTCGAAATATGTGAAATTTCCAAGAGGAGAGTGGATCTTATCGAACTTTTAGGCGTTAGGGCTTGACGAAGCGAGCAACGGGATGACAATTTCAGGTATGTCACCAATTTTTGGCCGTTTAAATTAAAAACTGAAGAAATGGCAAGGAATTTGAGAGTCAGAGTATCTCTTGGAACAGACAGTAAGTACGAAACAGCCAGGTTAGGAAACAGCTGACATCCCACATTTCAATGTGGGCTTATAAAAATTTGTGTTTTGAAAATTGTGAAATGCAATTGGATTCATTTTTTGTCCCAATAAACCATCTCACCAAGGTTTAAAATTTCCATTGAGAAGAGAAAAGTAGGATGTTAAACCCCGATTCATTTTGTTTGATTAAGCTACCTGTAAAGGAGTGTGATGATTGGCATCTCTTATTGTAACATCTGCACCATGTTTTAACAACATAGAAACAATACGATCCAGACCCAGTTCACTGGCTTCATGTAAAGCTGTAGCACCTGAAAAATGATTCAAATAATGAGAGAGAGAACTAACACATAGTTCAATTTTATTTCAATAATTCGCTTGCGCAAAGAGGTCTTTAGCAGTGGGAGCAAACCGGAGGACCCGGATAAAACACAAAAGGTTAGACAGTCGACCCTACTCCATGTCACGTACAACCGGGGAATCAAAACCCCACAAGTTGACTCAATGACAGACCGTATGATAAAGCGCGCACTTGCTAACCATTCGGCTATCGGACCCCCCCACCGATTCAAATAATGAGTTTACTGATGTAAATGATACCTTCATCATTTTGACCGATAAAAGAACAGAAATACAGATTTTTTTTTTGATACCAGGTTTTATCAAACATACCAGGAGTTATTATTCTTCAATTTAAATTTGTCCTTACCCTTTGCATTTTTGGCATTAATTTCGGGACATTTTGAATGTTGTAAGATCTTCTCAACAACTTTTTCATTCTCTGAAATAATAAATAGATTACAACCCCCATGTTAACAGCATGGACGATAACATGATGAAGGTTGCTAAAGGTTGCAGATAAGCATAGGCCCATACTTTCTGCAATGTATGGCTATGAATCAAATTGATATTCAGGTACAAAAAGTCTGACTGAAATCCTGTGTACATGTATGAGACACCAAGCAATTTCTAGTAGAAAATTTTTTTTGTTTGACCAATCAGGGCAAGCTAAAATATGATCCTGCAAGATTAGCTGTGGAAATCCCTTCATTGTTGTCTGCAAATTGATTGTACATGCACACAGCTGTGATTTTGAAAGCATCGCTGGTTGCCTATTGAGGATGTATGTTCCGGGCTTTGGAAATAAAATTTGCATTTCTTAATTTACTATTTTTTTTAACTAACAAAAATATATACCTTCAACCACAGCTCTGTGTAATAAATTTGTAAAACCCCTGTGTCTACTCGCAACTGGTGGACTCTTTCCTCCACAAAATAGACTAAGTTTTGATGGCAATCCATGGCTATCTGAGTTATAATGATCAACAAGCTTATCTAAACCTGAATATAAAAACATGAGAATTAAGAAATAAAAAAAATCCAATGATTAGTTAACAATTTAAGCTGATGTACCTATACCTATATGTTGGTCAGGATTACAGTAGGTCAAATCCCAAAATAAATAGATGACACATTTATTTTTTTCAAAAGTATCAAGCAATCAAACTGATTATCAACTATACACTAAGTTTTATCACTCTCTATCAGATAGAATCAAAGTTATCTTGTCCTAAAGCATTGACCAATGAAATTGCTTAGCTCTGCTTAGGTTTAGTTCAAAATGTTAATCATTGAACTCAGTCAAGACATTCACCTACATCTACATCAAGTTTAAACATTAAAGCTTAATTAAAAACAGAGTTGTTATGTTCAAAAGTCTTGACCAACCAAATTGCTTATCTCTCCTTAGCCTAAGCAGAAAATTTCATCATCGAACTTAGTCAAGGTAATGATATAATGAAGACACAATGCGCAGAAATCACAAACAAACGAACAATTCAAATAACTCAAATTTGAAAACAATCAGGAATATAACCCAGAGAAACCATTGTGTAATGCCAGCATGAGTCATGATCTGCTATATGAAATATGAGTGTAAGCAACATTGAAGTAAAATTTAACTATACAAGTAACCACATAGGTGAAATGTATAAAAAAAAACCAAGCAGTCTAAAACTAAATGCTCTAAGTCAATTAAGAAACATTTTAGTATTCAATAGAATCGAGGCATATTGAATACAGTTAGGGCACATGTTCCACCCATCACAAAAACAGAGCAAAAAACAAACAATACTGAATACAACGAAGCAAATGTAGACCGTCTTGAAAGACAGCTGTCTGCTGACTGATTGACGTGACGTAAAAAAGGCAGAAGGTTGCAAATGACATCAAAATTTAGGTGACAAAACACCACAATAAAAAGGGCGATAATCCAGATAAAATAACTCCAAAAGGTTAATAAACTATCAATTTAGCAACTAATCAGAATTATTAAGTTATGTAATATATAATTGCACAAAATATAATAGTAATACATAATACCCCACACAAGAAATGCAAAACGGGTATGCTGAAGAAATCGTACAATCTAAGTGTATTTATAAAAGCATAAAATAAGGGCAATAATCCAGATAGGATTAGGTAACTACAGAAAACTTAAAATAAATATTAAATTGGATCATTATCCAAAATGAAGTCAGTTATATACTGTACTTATAAGAAATGTTGAAGAAATGGAAGTTTCGAAATTTCTTTTAAAATGCGTAACTGTGTACTGCCTTTGGCAGTGCACTTAAAATAAAGAGATTTTAATCTAGAAAAAAATAGTTCTTTATCTTTATATACTGTTGATAATCATAATGCCTGTGAATTGAAAACATTATATTATTATAGCATGACATCTGGTATGTTACTATAAACCGATGGGTATTTTACCACTTCAAAGCCAAATTTGTCCGTTTTGTCGAAAATAACGACATTAAATTTATTGTTAATTATATACTCAAAGCCATTAAAAACACAGTGCCAAATTCAAAGTTTATTTACTGCAACAACTTTTAACAAATGTACATAACAATTAACAAAATCGAGATAACAAGCATCTGTGGATAATTTCATGAAAGAATTCACCATAAATGCACAAAACCGAAACATCGGAGAACCATGAAACAAAGCAGGGGTCTGCTGAAGTCAGTATAGGGTATGTCCACCATGAGCTCTTACACATGCCTGAAGTCGCCTCAGCATGGACTGGCACAGATGTCTCACTAAACGCTGTGGGATTGTTTGCCAATGGTTTTGGAGTGCCTGTGCCAACTCTGCAACAGTTCATGGTGGCATGGCTTGAGTTCGAACCTGTCATCCAAGTTCATCCCAAAGATGTTTGATCGAGTTCATGTCAGGAGACATAGCGGGCCAATCCATAACACGGACATGATGATTGTTCAGAAAGTCTATTGTCAACCTGGCAGTGTGGGGTCGGGCGTTGTCATGCTGGAAAATCATCTGTCAACGGATACCATGTTGAGCCAGCAATGGAAGCAACACCGAATGAAGGATGGCGTCAACATAATGTTGAGCGTTGAGATTGCCTTGGACCACCACTAACTGGGACCGGAAGTTGACATTGATAGCGGCACAAACCATGACGCCACCTCCCCCGAAACGATCCCTTTCCAGCATGCAGTTACAAGCAAAGCGTTCATGTCTACGTCGGTAGATACAGTGACATCCATCAGGAAAACTGAGGTTGAATCGGGATTCATCCGAGAAGATGACATTTCGCCATGGTGTGTTGTGCAGATACCTGATTTGCGGCCCATTGCTGTCTGGCAAGTCGATGATGATGCAAAAAGATTTGACCTTGGTAAGGTCTACGGCAGCATAACCCAAGCGCAGTAAAATTCCTTCGGACTGTTTGAGGGCTGATCTGACATTGCTGTGTTCCAACGGTTCCCTTGGCAGTAGCAGTAGCTGACTGGTATTTGTTGTACAGATGCTGTAGTCGGTTGTGGCCATCTTGAGCAGCAGTTGCAGTTATTACAGGTGGTACTCCAGATCGGGGTCGATCGGCAACTGTTCCAGCAATGGTCGATGGGTTGATATTAAAGTGTCTGGCGACGGCTAACTGTGAAGCCTCCTGATCCAGCATGCCAATAGCTCTGTTCCTGTTTTCTTGTGTAAGGCGTGGCATTTTTCCGAAGTGATGAATGTTGAAATTTAAAGTGCCAAAGAGCAGGGAATGCATGTGCAAAACGTGTAACATGAGCTGCTTAAAATCGTGAAAAAAGACAAGTGTTCAAACCCAGAACTCCACAAAAAGAGACCCATCACAAGTTTCACCTATGTGCCATAAGATAGGAAAACCCAAGAAAATGTTAACCAGAAATATTTCACGAATTAGGCATTGTGTTTTTAATGGCTTTGAGTGTATTAATGTCTGGGTCAAGAACAGATGCATTTATAGTGCCGGAATTTTCTTTATTTAATATTAGTTCTGGGGGATATATACTATTCAAAAAAAGTAGGGGATATTTGATTTTGGGGGCATAATACTAAAATATGTAAATGACTACGAAAAAAGTCACTATAGAACCTAACAGAAGAAACATTTCCAGTTACATGTGACGCCCAAACGCACCAATAGCTACCGCCTGGAATGCAGGTGATGCTTGGGATCATCATGGGGGTCCAACCCAAGATTTGCACGACTCTGACTTTGAATGTTACAGTCATTGTGGCATTGAATTCCAGGGTGGAAACATCAGTTTAATTGTTTTAGTGACCAGAAAACAAATTTTGATATGCGTCGGCTTACCCAAAATGAAAGGTTACGTGCCCTTGGCATGCTACAGATCGGCACAACACAGGCGGTTGTGGCGCAGACGATGAATGTTTCTCAGTCTGTCATAAGCAGGCTATGGTCCAGATACCGTGATACACAATCTGTACAGGACAGACCATGCTCAGGTCGACCGAGGGCGACAACTCAAGCCCAGGATCGATTTATCCGTACCTTGGCCTTGAGAAATCGTGTCATCACAGCAAATCAGATCAACGCTCGTCTTCAAACAGACACTGGTGTGAGAGTGAGTGGCCAGACGATTCGGAATCGACTGCATAGGGGTCACCTTCGCGCCCGACGTCCTCGCGTGATCCCTTGTTTGAGAGATCATCACATTCAGGCAAGACGTCGTTGGTGTAGGGATCGTCAACACTGGGATAATCGACGCTGGAGCAATGTGATGTTTTCAGATGAGTCAAGGTTCACTGTTGATTTTTTTGACAGACGTAGGAGGGTGTGGCGTCGTGGAAACGTGCGCTTCCAAGACGTTAACGTCATCAGACATGATCGATTTGGGGGTGGTTCTGTTATGGTGTGGGGAGGCATCACTGTTGCTGGAAGAACGGCTTTACATGTTGTTGCAGGGCGTGTTACAGGCCAGTACTACCGGGACAACATCTTGCCAGTCCATGTTGTGCCGTTCGCACGACGTCATGGCCGCCGTTTCATCTTCCAGGATGACAACGCAAGATGTCACAGGGCCAGGATCGTTACAGGTTACCTCCAACAACAGAACATCACCACATTACCTTGGCCAGCACTGAGTCCCGACCTCTCCCCCATCGAGCATGTCTGGGACATGCTTGGACAGAGGTTACGTCAACGTCAACAACGTCCTGCCAATGTCCAAGAACTTGCTGCTGCGTTGCAACAGGAATGGGACAATCTGGACCAAAATGACCTTAGACATCTCATTAGGAGTATGCAACGTCGGATCAATGCTTGTTTGGCAAACAGAGGAGGATTTACCCGTTACTGACTTGGTTGTGATGCTGTGGTAACTTTGCTGTTTGACCCCGGGTATCATTTTACCCTTATAATGGTCAGTCTGTGCCTTACTTAGTCTAACGATCATTTGGAATAAATCGATGAATGTGAACTTCATTTCATTTTGTCATTTGTTTCTTCGTCAGTTTCATTAGGTGACTTTAATAACACTTAAAAATCAAATATCCCCTACTTTTTTTGAATAGTATATTTCACTTTTATATATGTTGAAATTTCCATTATCATTGATGGGTGTTATGTCATCAATGTATCGGAAGGTATAGTTTAGACTTTTAGCTACTTTGTAATCTGTTTTTTGTTTATGATCCTGAAAGCAGAATTCATATTTATATCAATTTGTATTTGCCGTAAATGGGGCGGGTCAGTTCCCATTAGTAAACCAATAGTTTGGTGTATTATCTGATCCCCAAACTCAAATATGGCATTGTCAATGAGAAAATGTATGATGTGTGGAAACTTTTCTTAATCAAAACATCCAGTGTGGGCAATGCAACATTTTATAATCCATTTAGCATCTTCTGAGTAAATGTCCATCAAGTTTCTGCCTTTCCCGAAAGCTACATTAAAAGCTTTATCTACAAACCAATCCAAATTATCTTTAAGATTTGAATGTCGAAGCATAGTTATCGTGTCCCAAAGCATCAACCAATCAAATTGCTTATCTCTGATAACCCAACGCAGAAACCGCTCATCTTCAAACTCCATCAAGGCATTGACCTAATAGATACCTACACCAAGTTTGAACATTCTAGCTCAATTAGAAGGAAAGTTATTGTGTCCCAAAAATTGTAACGAAAAGACAGACAGACAGACTCTTTTTAATAGTCCCCTGCTTTCTTTGAAAGATGAGGGAAAAAAATAGTTTAGAGGTTATGTACATGTAACTCCTTTCGAGCGCAATTTCTTCTTTAACAATTTCAATTTTCTCACCTTTAATTTTAGGACCATCGTCAATCTGAAAATATCCCGGAGATTTCTGTTCAATGATAAAATGGAAACATTTGTTGTTACTGATTAAGGACAGTGCAAAGTTCTTCCCACTTTCTCGAATCAGAAACAATCCATCTGAATTTGCTTCATCCCCTGCTTTGTATTTACCTGCAAAGAAAGAGATGTTAGAAAATGGAATGGACTGTAGATATGATAATATAGTTCTGTTACAATACACATCTGCATTGTATTTGTATGATACAAGATACACAAGGCTTACTTCAAGAATACATATTTCATTCATCTAATTCAAAAAGATCCATATGCAATTTTCTGAGCAATAAAATACCTTTCACAAGCTATTATACATATATATAATAAGTAAAATTCAAATATTATTAGAGAAAAAACACTAAAAATTAATGTTTTGGATAGTACTTTCATCGTTATCAATTTAGAAACGAATTGCCAGACCATTTTAATGCGTTACTAACTAATTTGAAAAAGAAATACTAAAACGCAAATGAAAATATTTACTTGGCATGCATGTTTTCTACAAGTGAAGTCCCTAGAAATTTTTAACGATAATCAGTAAGCTGCACTTTGGCATGCATTCCTCGACAAGCTTTCAATAGAAGGTAGTACCAACCGATAAATTAGTGCGTACAAAGAAATGTCTTTTCAGAATATTAGAAATGTTATTATAGTATGTGCAAAGAAATCTTACAGTTCTTTGTTGGATGAGGAAACACGCGAGTTGTCAATCATCGATAATCACGGTATTGTGTATTGCAATTATTCCATTTAACATAAAAGACATTTAGCTTTCACAATTATAAAAACATCGGCAGTGATCGATCAATCAAACAACGAAGAATTACTAAATATACACAAACTAGCAGTGTTTATATTTTATTGACGGTCTCAAAAATCGCTGATCATTTATATTCAGTCTTTTACTAGCAGTTAAGAATACCAACAATGTTAATAATTATTGTTAAAAAACTTTCATCAGCCTAACTTAAAACCCCAGCTATTACTACACATTTTCAACAGTCTTCTATTTATTTATTAAGACCGAAATGTTGCCAGACCGAGCTTGAACAGTCGTCAAGTAAGTTCGAATCATCGTAAAACTGAGTCTGAAACGTCACTTGTGTTGAGTCGAAAGGTCGGGGGACCGAAATTTTGTTCAACCTTCCAGTCAAGTACATCTCATAAAATAAACAAAATCTAATACATGTATGTGTCAATTACGTAGCTATGGTTATGATCATATTTACTGAACCAACAGGTAGCCTACCCTGTGCCTCCATGGACCACGATGATCATTAGATAACAAATCTTACCTCTCAACCCTCCGTGTTTTGAGATAAGAGATGATGTAGCACATGCGGGATCGATTCGCACCCGCAATTTGTGAATAAAATTGACAATATTTTTAATCAAAACAACGATTGTTTATCGTTATTTATAATATTTCTGCCACATCCAACTACAATTTAGCATATAATCTTACCTGAAACGGGTACAAATCGTCGTTTTTAAAATCGAGGCGTTAAGCCGTTACTAAGACCACCATCTTTTTAAACGATACGCTGTCATCATGAAGGCGGGGCTAAATATAAGACTTTCATAACAGCCAATCAAAAGGGCAATCTAAAGCATTTTAACTATGAATGGATTTCGATGGCGGTGAATGTCAGACAAAAACAACGCTTCATTAATTTAAACGAGTTAGGCGACAGTTGTGCCACTACATTGGCCTCTGTAAGTTTAATTAATCATAATAGCATAAACTCATCTTATTTTAAAGATGTAACATGCATTAATAATAATAAAGAAATTGAGTTTGGCATCCAATCGTAGCTAAAAACAAACACATCAGTATCTCAACGTTTTTAGCTACGTTCTCGTAGCTCTAAATGATCATGTGTACCACCACCATCGGCATATGAACTATCAACAGACCTGCCTACCGTATCAAATCACTGTCCTGACACTGTTGCAGCAGTGAGTAGCCTTTTAAAAATGAAGGAGTCAAAGAATCAGGATGAACAAAACCCAGGTTACCTTCTCTTAAAAGTGTCTCAGCACCTTCCCTGGTCACACTTCCGTGAAACCATTGTACTCGTTGATCATTTTCTTCTTCCTTCTTTCTTTCTGCTGCCAGTAAGTCATCCAAAGAAAGCGTTTTTAGCAGTTTACTCACGCGAGGAGACTCATTTGTGCCAACATTAACACTGTTTTTCAAGTCGGCCACACGATATTGTTTCCGAGCATCTGTCATTTTGTGGCACAAGTTTAACTTCCTTATTCCATGTTTTATTTTGATCATGTGACAAGGCTCTACACGGAAGTACTTTTTGGTTTTATGCTGGGCTGAAGTCAGCGGACGTTACGCTGAGCGGACGTTTTATGACCTTGACCCTCATCGTCGAAAGCTGCGGTTAACAAAACACAATGTTTAGCCGTTGAAGTGAGCGTACGGAATGAATAACAAATTTCCGCACTACAAATCTATTTAAACCACTGAAGACACACAATAATTGGCACGAAATGAAACAGTCTTTATCCAACATTTCTGTAACACCATAGATAATTTCGGAAAGTCACTGGAATACACCGCAAAACAGGTTGAATTAATACCGGTTAAACAGCAAAACACTTCAATGTCAATTCTGTTTACGTAACGTCCGCTGCGCTGCTGTTTCATTTTCTTGAGCCACTCAATACTTGGCATTTAATGAAAGAGTGTTTATCCCTCTTTCATGTACAGACACCATAGATTATTCTTGAAAGTCCTCAACATAATCTGAAATCCGTCATAGGAAAGCAGTACCCCCCCCCCCCCCCCGTCTTGTTTGAATTCTGTTTTACCAAACGGCTGCTGTTATTTTATTTTCTTGAGCCACTAAATACATGACATGGAATTAAAGAGTGTAAAGAGTATTTATCCCTCTTTCATGTGGTACCATAGATTATTTCTGAAAGCCCTCGATTCAGACTTAAATCCGTCCCAGGAAAACTCCCCCCCCCCCCTTTTATGTCCATAATCAAACCAAACGCCTGCTGTTTCATGTTCTTGAGCCACACATTACATGGCATGGAATTAAAGAGTGTTTATCCCTCTTTCATGTTGCAACATAGCTTATTCTTTAAAATCCTCGTCATAGTCTGAAATACGTCCGAAAAGCCCCCCCCCCCCCTTTTCTTTCTTTGTGAACTGTGCTTTACCAAACTACCGCTACTATTTCATTTTCTTGAGCCACGCAATACGTGGCATTGAATGAAAGAGTGTTTATCCCTCTTTCATGTGGCACCATAGATTATTTTTGAAAGTCCTCAACATAATCTGAAATCCGTCCTAGGAAAGCAGTCCCCCCCCCCGTCCTGTTTGTCAATTTTGTTTTACCAAACGGCCGCTGCTTTTTTATTTTCTCTTTCATGTGGCACCAAAGATTAAAAGATTATTTCTGAAAGCCCTCGATTCAGTCTTAAATCCGTCCCAGGAAAGCTGCCCCCCCCCCCCCGTTTATGTCCATAATCATACCAAACCTCTGCTGTTTCATGTTCTTGAGCAACTCATTACATGGCATGGAATTAAATAGTGTTTATCCCTCTTTTGTGTTCCAACATAGCTTATTCTTTAAAATCCTCGTCATAGTCTGAAATACGTCCGAAAGCCCCCCCCCCACTCTTTCTTTGTGAAGTGTGCTTTACCAAACTACCGCTACTATTCCATTTTCTTGAGCCACACAATACTTGACACAGAATGAAAGAGTGGTTGTCCCTCTATCATGTGGCACCATAGATTATTCTTGAAAGTCCTCAGCATAATCTGAAATCCGTCCTAGGAAAGTAGTACCCCCCCCCCCCCCTCTGTCTTGTTTGTCAATTCTGTTTTATCAAACGGCCGCTGCTATTTTATTTTCTTGAGCCACTCATTACATGACATGGAATTAAATAGTGTTATCCCTCTTTCATGATGCAACACAACTTATTCTTTAAAATCCTCGTCATAGAAATACTTCCGAAAAGCCCCCCCCCCCACTTTTTCTTTGTGAGCTGTGCTTTACCAAATGTCCGCTGCTGTTTCATTTGGACATAAAGGGGGGGGGGGGTGGTGGACAGCTTTCCTTGGACGGATTAAAGACTGAATCGAGGGCTTTCAGAAATAATCTATGGTGCCACATTCGGACGTATTTCAGACTATGACGAGGATCTTAAAGAATAAGCTATGTTGCAACATGAAAGAGGGATAAACACTCTTTAATTCCATGTCATGTATTTAGTGGCTCAAGAAAATAAAATAGCAGCGGCCGTTTGGTAAAACAGAATTGACAAACAAGTCGGAGGGGGGAGGGGGGGTACTGCTTTCCTAGGACGGATTTCAGACTTTCAAGAATAATCTATGGTGCCACATGGCTAAAAAACATGAAACAGCTGACGTTTGGTATGATTATGGACATAAAGGGGGGGGGGCAGCTTTCCTGGGACGGATTTAAGACTGAATCGAGGTCTTTCAGAAATAATCTATGGTGCCACATGAAAGAGAGATAAACACTCTTTAATTCCATGTCATGTATTTAGTGGCTCAAGAAAATAAAATAGCAGCGGCCGTTTGGTAAAACAGAATTGACAAACAAGTCGGAGGGGGGGGGGGGGTACTGCTTTCCTAGGACGGATTTCAGACTTTCAAGAATAATCTATGGTGCCACATGAAAGACGGATAAACACTCTTTTATTCAATGCCAAGTATTGAGTGTCTAAAGAAAATGAAACAGCAGCGCAGCCATAGGCGTACGGGCTCGATGACAGTTAGGGGGGCAGAACCCGAAATGCCCGAAAAAATTTCGGGTGTACAGACAGCGGCGTCGGTATTCCTCCAGAGGCGAAGAAGCAGAGCTCCCCTTGTATTGTACCCCCCCCCCCCCCACAAGAAAATTTTTGAATATTTGACGGCTGCAAACATAATTTCCTGCTATTTCAGCCCGTGAACAAAGCAACTTCAAAGTGGTCTAATATAGCCTAATTAAGATGGCTGACTCGAATTCCAATCAAAAGATCAATCGTTTACAGTCCACGGAGACGGGACCGTTTGGAGAAAATTTTGAAAATTTAACAGCCGCATACGCGTTTTCCTGCTATTCCAGTCTGTGAATACAGCAAATTCAATTTGGTCCAATATAGCCCCCCCCCCCCCAAGAAAATTTTTGAATATTTGACGGCTGCAAACATAATTTCCTGCTATTTCAGCCCGTGAACAAAGCAACTTCAAAGTGGTCTAATATAGCCTAATTAAGATGGCTGACTCGAATTCCAATCAAAAGATCAATCGTTTACAGTCCACGGAGACGGGACCGTTTGGAGAAAATTTTGAAAATTTAACAGCCGCATACGCGTTTTCCTGCTATTCCAGTCTGTGAATACAGCAAATTCAATTTGGTCCAATATAGCCCCCCCCCCCCCCAAGAAAATTTTTGAATATTTGACGGCTGCAAACATAATTTCCTGCTATTTCAGCCCGTGAACAAAGCAACTTCAAAGTGGTCTAATATAGCCTAATTAAGATGGCTGACTCGAATTCCAATCAAAAGATCAATCGTTTACAGTCCACGGAGACGGGACCGTTTGGAGAAAATTTTGAAAATTTAACAGTCGCATACGCGTTTTCCTGCTATTCCAGTCTGTGAATACAGCAACTTCAATTTGGTCCAATATAGCCTACCTGGCTGACCCGAATTCCAAACAACCATTCAATCGTCGCGGGGTATGGGGGGGGGGGGGGGCTCACCCTTGGGACCTCACCCTCCCCGAGAAAATTTTGAAAATCTAACCACCGCAAATGCGTTTTCTGCTATTCTAGCCCGTGTAAGAAACTCCAAAAGTATCCAATGGTTTTGTAACCGAAATCCCATTCTGAATTACAACCATCCAATCAGACCGTTGCAGTTGCATTCACAAATAAATAATCGATGCTCGAAAAATGTCGCACAAAGTAGAGTGGCTCCAGACAAAATGTTTTAATCCATAGTCAACTCAGTACAAATTTGTGGTATTCAATTAAAAGAAAAGTAAAATTAGTGTTTTATTAGGGCTCAATGACAGTTAGGGAAGAAAAACTAGAAATGCCCGAAAAAATTTCAGGTTTACAGACAGCGGCGCCGGTTTTCTTCGAGGGGTGAAGAAGCAGAACTGACCTTGTATGGACCCCCGAAGAAAATTTTGGAATATTTGACGGCCGCAACGCGTTTTACTGCTATTCCAGCCAGTAAAATTAGTGTTTTATTAGATTTCGGGCACTTTATTTTGCCAAGTAGATGAAATAAAAAATTTTTTTCACTTTACCCTTCTGCCCGAAAAGTCAGCTTGCCCGAAAGTTAGGGGGGGGGGGGGGCAGCTGCCCCCCCCCCCCTGACTCCCTGGCTCGTACGCCTTTGAGCGCAGCGGACGTTTGGTAAACAGAATTGACATTAAAGTGTTTTGCTGTTTAACCGGTGATTAATTCAACCTGTTTTGCGGTGTATTCCAGTGACTTTCCGAAATTATCTATGGTGTTACAGAAATGTTGGATAAAGACTGTTTCATTTCGTGCCAATTATTGTGTGTCTTCAGTGGTTTAAATAGATTAGTAGTGTGGACATTTGTTATTCATTCCGTACGCTCACTTCAACGGCTAAACATTGTGTTTTGTTAACCGCAGCTTTCGACGATGAGGGTCAAGTTCATAAAACGTCCACTCATCGTAACGTCCGCTGACTTCAGCCCAGCGTCTCGATCACCACTGTCTTGTTTAAAATTTTATGTTTCTCCTTCGTTTTAGCATAAAAGATGGCGTCTATCGAAGATATGGATGTGGACAGGGAGCAAGAAAAAGATCCAAATAACAAACCCGACAAGATGTTTACTCTTAAAAAATGGAATTTGGTTGCTATGTGGAGTTGGGATGTCGAATGTGATACTTGTGCTATTTGTAGGGTCCAAGTCATGGGTTTGTATTGCTTAAAATTAAGAACTACTTCACTCAGTGAGTGAGTGACTTACTTAGTGAGTTAGGCCTGGTCGAAATCAAACTATTTCAAGTAGCAATGCAAAAGCTTTTTTATATTTTTGAATCTGACTAAAACTGAATATTTACTAGCATTCCAACCCCCTTCCCATTTAAGAAACCAAAAAAAATTTAAAAATCGGTTAAGAAATAAAAAAGTTATTGCACTTTTAAGACCCCAAATTGATGGGTACTATTTCAGTAACGTACCTCTACCAGTTCCCATGATCGTAGAGAGTTGAAATTTCCAGGGGGTATTCATGGTGCCTGGCCATGACCTCACACCAAATTTCAGCCGAATCTGTTAATATCTTTTTATTTTAACGTAGTTTAGCTTATAACGAGAAAGTTTATCCGATTTTGACGCCATTTTGTTTGTTGGCTATTGGAATTTTTAAATTTGGTCTATATAATTTACTTGTTTTGATATGGGTTCTGCAACATGGATAAAAAACCCAAATTTGGTTAATTTGACTTTTTTAAGATAGAATTCACATATATGATGGACCTCAAATTTCGAGTGTTGCTTTATGCCGGCAGAATTAATCCTTATAACAACTTCCTAGACTGCTCCTCGATTTGTTGGTATCTAGGGATCTTTAATGTGCGCCGCCAATCCGTACGTACGAACTTGTTTTTCGTTCAACTTATCATTGGCAGGTTCTCTGATCCGCAAAACAAAGTGAATTCTGGGGATGGAGCACCAAACATCCCATACTCATCTAGCCCATTCTCTTTTCTGGCAACAGGGAGCCATGGTAGCTCAGTGGGTAGAACGTTGGCTCACTCAACTGGATGTGCCGTGTCCAATTCCTGCATTGGTTGAGCAAGTTCATTGTGTTATACACACCAGCCTCCCCCAAGATGTACAACGGATGACCTAGCAAGTGACAACATAGTCATTCGGATAGAATGAAAAACTGATGTCCCGTGTGCGCATAAAAGAACCCTTGACAGATGGAATTCGAAATAAGAGTAGGCTGTTGCGCCGCTGTTTTGGCAAAGTTTCCCCTCATAGCACACTGAAATAGTGTGTTCCCCGCACCCACGCCCCCGCCGTCTTCATTAGCCCAGTAGGAGTAGAACATTAAACCCCATTTCATTTTCTTGTAACAGATTCCATATGGCTGTCATTTGATCACCAACAAAAGAGAAAGTAATCCAAGAGATAATTTTTAACAAAATGTTATTTTAGGGAAGTGTTATTAGAATCAATAGAATCAATAAAATATTGTAACAATACAAGAGAAAGAATTCAAACCGTGCACCAGACTTTATACCCCTAAAAAGTGCACGTGAAAATTGTGCCTCTGAACCAGCCCACTGTTAGCAAAAGGGAAACTTGGTTTGACACGTTCACTATAACAAGAAAGCTGCTGTGGTCTGCACCCATATCGGGTGGAGTTATCTTTTTCTTCCACATTATTATTATTATTATTATTATTCGATTTATATAGCGCTTCATTACACATGAGCATGATTTATTTTCCCGAGCTCTGGCACTAGTTCCAATGGTTGGTGAATGAAATACAGTCAATATAACTAGAAAAGGGGTCATTTTATGAGAAAATACGTTTACTTCCAGTGACCAGCGTCGTTTCTGCCTTTTTCTGATAATTTTATTTTTTCAAAATATAAAAAATCAGTCGTAAATACGTTTCTGAATGTTCAAACCACGCTCGACACAAATAATGTTTTCTTCTCTTCACGAAAAGTAAAAAGTCATCGGTGTTGGTGGTCATACACCTTCCCAAAGTCGCGGAATAAAAACAGCACATTTTGCGGTCAGATTTTTTGACAGTGATAAAAATAGTATCAGTGGCGCCCCTAGCGAACTTTTGCATTGCTATTTCAAGTATTTGACCCTCCACTATAAAACCAGTCACATATTATGTATAATCATGGTCCTTATAATACATTAAAAGTAGCTACGAGAACGTAGCTAAAAACGTTGAGATAATGATGTGCTTGTTTTTAGCACAAGTTTAAATATCCGTGGACATGAATGATCCATTCTGGAGGCTATCTTACCTCTGCCTTGGGTCTCGCCACAGTTACTGATCTTCATGATATCTTCCTCCTTAATTGACCGATCGCAGCTATCAGTTTTTCCATATTGTCATCATATTACTCCTAGATACAGCTTTCATCGAAATAACACTGGCACAGTAAACTGTTCGTAATTATTATTTTGGTTTGGTAATAATAATAATAATAATAATGAGGTTTTATATAGCGTCTTTTCCAAGTTGACACATGCTCAAAACGCTTTTAGTAATGGCTCTACTGGTAAAACTGTCAAAACAGGAAAGTCTTTATAGTGCGGATTTAAATTGATTAAAAGTTTGTTGATTCTTGATCTGTTGTGGAAGTTCGTTCCATAATCTAGGACCAGCTGAACTGAAAGACCTATACTTATACCCATATGACTTTGAATTATATCTTGGAACAACTAATGACTGTTTATTTTGAGAGCGAAGTGATCTAATAGGGTTGTAGTCATATAAGAGTTCAGATAAGTATTGAGGAGCTGCATTATTGCGACATTTTATACACTAATGTAAGTATTTTGTATTTGACTCGCGCCTCAGCAGGTAACCAGTGTAAAGAAGCTAGCACATTCTGGATGTGATCAAACTTATGTGTCCTTGTTACTATTCGGGCTGCAGTATTAAGAACTTTCTGGATCTTGGCTAGACGTGCTTGTAGGATTCCATAGAGTAAACTATTATTACAATAATCAATCCTTGATAAAATCAGTGATCTCACAAGTACGGTTGTAGTTTACTTTATTTCTAGTGTTACAGCCATTTAATGGCTTGCAAATATGTCAACCAGTTATTACGATTGTACTTTAAGTTGATATAACAGTCTGTTGGACCCCTAGCTTGATGTACCGGGTACTTATTGCCCCTTAAAGATACATTATGGGAGATAAGATAAAGAGATGGCAGTTCTCACTATAATAGTCAAAAACTAGATAGTGTAAAGGTAATTTGCTGAAAATTTCAGTCAAATTGATCCATTACTAAAATCAATAATATAAACAGCATAGTCTCGATTATCCACTTTTTTTGATTTAATTAATATTGGCCGTTGGCGGCATATAGGAATCTAATCCAGCCAACATCGAAGGCTAGCCTTGACATCGAGAGTTTATTATGGTCTGGATAAGTTAATTAAAGATACATTATGGGAGATTTTTATAGAGAGTTGGCCATTCTTGCTATAACAGTTCAAAAGAAGATGATGAAAGAAGAATATATTGAAAATTTCAGTCAAATTACTTTATTCTGAACATAGTTATCATCGTTGTAATATTTTACTAGAAATGGTAGTGAAATGTGCCTTCAGCTTGGCCGATCGTTTGATTGACAGGCGTTAACTCCACCTACATATCTCGATTATCAAGTAAAGTTTTCAATGGCATGTGGAAATGCTCTACAGCGGCCTCGCTAAGTACACTCTATCATTTAGCCTCAATCTAACTGACGTATTCTCATCAGGGTGTGCCATATTTGAATTAATCAATGAGTGAAATCCTATTTAAATCCGAGCTGTAGCCGAGCCATCCGTGGGTCTACAGAGTTGATTTTGGTCTTGTTGTTTAAATAAAGATCTAATTTATAATTTCTATAACATCTGAAGCCTAAATTAAGACTTGCAATAATCAGATTTTGCTCTTGCACAGTGTATGTTTAATGTCTAATTGATAATTTAGATAACATTTCAGGCCTAAAGAAAGACTTGTAATAAGCAGATTTTGCTCTTGCATAATGCATGTTTAAATCTTCAAATAGTCTGTTGTTTCAATTTTCTTCCAGTAATGGCCAAAAACAGAGATCCTATTTCGTTTTGTTTTTTATAGTTCAAAATTTCGTTTTACTTAGTCTTCACAACACTAGGATCTGGAAGAATTGTTATATAACCCACATTCTGGTTGAAGAACGGTCTGTTATGGCCAGTTCTTGGCATGTGATGCAGGGACCTGGGTAAACTACTAGAAATGTCAATGTTGATTGATTTATTAATGTCTGACACCATAGGGTGAAAAGACGCTTGTAGGACCCCGGACTCGACCTTTCACTACAACCGGTCAGATCTTCATGTAGTGTAGGCCATCGAAACGAAATAATCAGATTGAGTAATGGCATCTATATAGTCCCTCATACTTGTAGTTTGATAGACTGTCTATTGGTGATGTGGAATTGCTGTGCAGCCATTGTTATTTATTCTTAATATCTCCTGTGAATTTTAGGCTACAAACACAGGATGTGCCAAGTTTACGAAAGTGTATGCAATAGTACCTAGACTATTAAACATACATTATGCAAGAGCTAAATCTGCCTATTGCAGGTCTTTCTTTACGCCTGAAATGTTTTATAAATTATTAATTACATTAATTAACTTATCCAGGCCATAATCAACTCTTGATGGCATGGGATTTCTCCGATATTTAATATTTTAATTTAATTTAAAAATGGAGGAGCGAGACTTAGCTTCGAACAACCAGTACGGTGGTTGCAATTGTTCCAACCTTCAAAGGCTAATATCTTCGCTCGCAATAGAGTAATTGGAATGAAATTTTCAAATTATTCATTTTACATTATCTATTTTCGTATTATTATAGCAAGAATGGCTTGCTCTTTATGTAAATCTTACATAATGTATCTTTAAGTCTTATAAATTATACATGTAGCAGTACATGTATATTACATAGTCCATTCTGAGATCTGGCCCCAAGTTCACAAAGCATTCTCAGACTTAAGTTGAGAATTTACTCAACTTTCAATCACTCTTTATGAGAAATATGTTTGATCAAGAAACACAAAACTTTGCACATGGTTTCTTATTGATGTATTTGATACATTAAAACAACAAAAGTTTTGTAAAGAGCTATATATTAGTTAAAATAAGGCGAACAATTTTGAGTAAATTCTCAACTTAAGTCTGAGAATGCTTTGTGAACTTGGGGCCTGATTCTTTCACTGCCAACTGGTCAACACTGCCATATGTAAAATTAAACACAAAAGTGTCATTGATTGAGATGACTGGCAACTACATGTACATGTTAGACCAAAATGGAAAATGTGCCTGGAAATAAGACACCAGTCACAGTTATTGTCAGGCACAAATTCAAGTTTTGTCAGCACAATCTTTCTGGTGCCTGTCATTTTGCCTGTCACTGATCTGTTTTTTTTATACGCCCACATTTAAATGTGGTCGTATATTGTCGTCGCCCCAGTCCGACCGGCGGTCCGGCATCCACAATTGCTTGTGGACGCTCTAGAGGCTAAAGTTAATATCCGATTGACTTTAAATTTATACACAGTGTTTAACATCATGAGACGAAGAAGCCTATTGATTTTCAGCGATTTCCGATAATTACTGCCAGAATTATGGCCCTTGATCACTTCAAAAAATCTTGTGGACGCTCTAGAGGCCAAAGTTAATATCCGATTGATCTTAAATTTATACACAGTGTTTAAGGTCATGAGACGAAGAAGCCTATTGATTTTCAGCGATTTCTGATAATTACTGCCAGAGTTATGGCCCTTAATCACTTTGAAAACTAGAGGCCAAAGTTAATATCCGATTGACCTTAAATTTATACACAGTGTTTAGGATCATGAGATGAAGAATCCTATTGATTTTCAACGATTTCCGATAATTACTGCCAAAGTTATGGCCCTTGATCACTTTGCAAAATCTTGTGACGCTCTAAAGGCTAAAGTTATCATCTGATTGACTTCAGATTGATACACAGAGTTTAAGATCTTGAGAGGAACAAATATATTGATTTTCAATGAATTTTTATGACTTGGAACAGCTAAATCCATGATATTAAAAGTTTATACAAAACGTTAGCATGGGGTAGAACTTTATAAAAACCAAACAAATTCTAATGGTTTTCTGAGTTGTTGCTCTTAATCAGATTTTAGTGTATTATAAATGTTTCATTACCGAAAAAAGTAAAAATATGCGACAACTCTTGTTGACTGTCCGGACGATTTAGCTGCTGTGGGCGTATGTTTCGTTGCCTGGCAACTTATCTTTTTCTGTGTTTTTATTGATATTACGAATACATATATCTGGCGAAAAGTCATAGAACTAAGACCTCTAAGGCCTGTACATCTAGAAATTATGTAAATTGTATTTTTAAACTAATATCTTTCAGATGCTTGTTTACGATGTCAGGCAGAAAACAAACAAGATGATTGTGTTGGTAAGTTTTTGACCTACATGTAATACATATAGGTATCTACCCCATGAATTTCAAATCACTATTTGTTTGATGTAGAGTAGACCTGGATAACTCGCTTTCCAATCAGCAGAATAGGTTCTATTTTAGAGAATTTAGGCATCAATATTTTCACTAGTGAACACCCATTCCAGCAAATACATGAGGCATCATAATGCAAGAGAAAGTTTGTTTGTTTATAGGTAACGAAACACACATTTTTGTCCCCGCCTTTCGAAGAAAGCAGGGGACTATTAAAATGGGTTCGTCCGTCTGTCAGTCACACTTTTTGGGACACAATAACTCTCTTTCTAATTGAGCTAGAATGTTCAAACTTGGTGTAAGTGTTTATTAGGTCAATGCCTTGATGGAGTTTGAAGATGAGCATTTTTTGTTTAGGGTAAGCAGAGATAAGCAATTTAATTGGTTGATGCTTTGGGACACCATAACTATAGTTCTAATTTATGGAGAATGATGAAACTTGGTGTATAGTTTCATTACATCAATACCTTGACTAAGTTCGATAATGAGCATTTTCTGCTCAGGGTAAGCAGAGTGATAAGCAATTTGATTGACCAAGACTTTGGAACGCAATAACTCTCCTTCTAATTGAGCGAGAATGTTCAAACTTGGTGTAGGTATTTATTAGGCGAATGCCTTGATGGAGTTGAAAGATGAGCATTTTCTGCTTAGGGTAAGCAGAGATAAGCAATTTGATTGGTTGATGCTTTGAACACGATAACTTTAGTTCTAATTAAATGAGAGTGATGAAACTTGGTGTTTAGTTTCATTACATCAATACCTTGACTAAGTTCGATGATGAGCATGTTCTGCTCAGGATAAGTTAAGCGATAAGCAATTTGATTGGTTGAGACTTTGGAACACAATAACTCTCATTCTAATTGAGTTAGAATGTTCACACTTGGCATAGGTGTCTATTATTAGGTGAATGCCTTGATGGAGTTTGAAGATGAGAATTGTCTGCTTAGGGTAAGCAGAGATAAGCAATTTGATTGTTTGATGCTTTGGGACACGATAACTTTAGTTCTAATTAAGTGAGAGTGAGGACACTTGTATAGCTTTATTACATCTATGCCTTTACTAAGTTCGATAATGAACATTTTCTGCGGAGGGTAAGCAGAGTGATAAGCAATTTGATTGGTCGAGACTTTGGAACACAATAACTCTCCTTCTAATTGAGGTAGAAAGAATGTTCAAATTTGGTGTAGCCATTCATTAAGTGAATGCCTTGATAGAGTTCGATGATGAACAGAGATAAGCAATCTGATTGGTTGATGCTTTGGGGCACGATAACTTTGGTTATAATGAAGTGAGAGTGATGAAGCTCCGAATAAAGATTTATTATATGACCTTGACTAAGTTTGACGGTGCAAATTTTCTGCTTAGGCTAAGGTGCGATAAGAAATTTGATTGGTCAAGACTTTGGAACATAACAACTCTGCTTTTAATTGGGATAGAATGTTTAAACTTGATGTACATGTTCATTAGGTGAATGTCTCGACATGAGTTCAATGATTAACATTTCGAGCTAAAGCTAAGCAGAGCTAATAAATTTCATTGGTTGATGCTTTGGGACAAGATAATCTTGATTCTTTCTGATAGAGAGTGATGAAACTTAGTGTATAGTTTGATTGCTCGATGCTTTTGAAAAAAATAAATGTGCGATTAATTAATATGTGTCATCTATTTATTTTTAGATTTCGGCGGGGGACATCAGCCGCACTGTTGGATTGTTAAGCCTATATTTGGTTGTTAACTTGTAATAGTAGTAATACTTTTGTTTTTTGTTTATTTTAGTTGTGTGGGGTGAATGTAACCATTCCTTTCATAATTGCTGCATGTCTTTGTGGGTTAAACAGAACAACAGATGTCCATTATGCCAACAAGAGTGGGTTGTACAAAGAATTGGAAAATAGTGATTGTGCTATGCAGGACAATAAATGATCATTTGATTCTAGGTGTGAATCATATTTAGCAAATTGGGCTTCACTATAACCAGAGGTATACTGAATCTCCCATATATTATAAGGGGCTTCAGTATAATACTGCTGGGAGCTGTGTGGACCCCACAGGCTTCTACCTTATAGTGAGGTCTGTGTATATTGAAGACTGTAGAATCCAAGTTAAATAATCGGGGGCCCCAGAAATCTAAAAATAACAGCACAACTTAGTGTAAAGCGGTGGACACACTGGACGAATCATTCACCACAGAAATTTGCCTAGTGTCTCAAGTATCATTCAAACGAATTTCTATTGGCCCAAATCAAACATGTTTGTTATATTCATCTAGTATGTCCGGTTCGCCAAAGCATTCGTCCGTTTTTTTAGAATTCAGTAGCCAATCACCACTGATGTCGAGAAGTCACATGATTGTTTGAAGACATGGTCGCTGCCATGTTTAGTCATGTGACGTGAATGGTGATGCAATCAACTGGTGAAACGGGCGGAGAATTCATCTAGTGTGTCCCCTCATTCTGCGCAGTTAATATTTTTCAGTAACTTTGCTTTGTGACTTTGTACATGATTACCAATTTGAATATCTCTCAATATGTATGGAGTATGGATGAATCAAAATGAGATGCCTCAGTCATAATTTGAAAGGGTTTTAGGAGCTCTGCTTTCCAAACAAAATTCCCTTTCTTGGCATAGTAAAATTAGCATATATTTTAAATAAATGTTGTGCCAAGCTTAGTGTGGCAAAAAATCCAGCAGATGTTTTAATCTCATTTTGAAAATCCAGTAGATGGAGAATGCAATCTTGCTATACAAAAATGGTATTTTGTGTAGAATTTCGCAAGAGTGTACATACAGTTTTTACTACATTAGATTACAATACAAAAACCTGATAATCCTGAAATGATTGTTGGAATTCTGAAAAGAACTGGATATTAGATTTTAACCTAACAATCCACACTTACAATTGTCAATGGATCTAGCAAAAAACGGAACAGATTCACAGACGTGTAAGTGAATTGATATATGTATAGATAGATAGAATAAGACATACACATGATACATCGTATTATGTTGTTAATGTCCAGGTATTTGGGTGTAAAGTCTGGACAGGTTTCTTAGTTTTGTCAAGGTATGGTATAAAGAATGTTGATGCTAAAACTGTCCAGCTTATTCCTTTATCTCACCCATTGTCATCCTGGCTAAAATATTTTATGGCAAAAATGGTCCCTCTTTTGTGCCACTGTGTTAAGTGTGTGATTATCTAAATCATTATTGCTAGTGTCAAATCATCTCTTCATTTAAAGATGGTTTTAGACTGCAGTGTAAACATTGAACGAAAAGAAAAGACAGAAAGTGTAATATTAATTAAACCTTCTTACTTTTCCATTATTTTGTAATCATATTTAATGACAACCTACATGTATGTTGTATTCATATTTATAATTCATTGACAGCTGATGTGTATTTGTTTTGTTATGTTTTTGTCAAAATATGTACATTGTTTTTAAAATTGTAAATAAAAGTACGTTGTGATTCTATGAAAGTTTTTTCCCTGTTATTTTTTTTGTTTTTTTTTTTGTTTTCTTGATCAGAGTCACTTGAAGTTATTAAAATAAAACATTAGTTTGACTATACTAGAATAGGAACAAAGATAATTGCCTGTCAACTTTGGAAATGGATTTGTCTCCCTTTAAACCTCTCTCTCTCTCTCTCTCTCTCACTCTCCCTCTCTCCCCCACCCCAATTCACTTTTACTTTTATAAACACGATTTTAAAAATTCATGGTGATATTAAATTCGCCTTTATTTTTAAAAACCCAAATTGAGTTATTATTTGACAATTAACTAACCCTTGTGCGGACACGTCGCACGAAAAACATTGTCGGCAGCAAGGGCAATCTGATTAAAACACAGATCCAATTTCGTTTCGTTTTTATAGTTCAAAATTTCGATTTTACTTGTCTTTACTACACTTGGAGGTCCGAGGTTTGATCCCAGTGTTGACCTAGACAGTTCCCCAAACTTTCCAGCGTTGTTTCCGTTTGATGCAGGAAGTGGGGATGGGTTGGCTGTGATGGGCAGCGTCTAGTTTTTCGGATGGAATATAAAACTGAGGTTCCGTGCACGCGTTGGCGTGCACGTAAAAGAACTTTTAAGTCAAGACCGTAACGTTGCTGTTTGGACCAAATTCCCCCTATAGCATAATGTATGGCAGGCGTATACGTACATCTTCATTATCCCGGTTGATACTGAACAGTTAGGCATTAAACTCCATTTGATTTTTTTTCTTCTCTTCATTACAATTGACACTCCCATACAGTATTATTTAGGCTTTGCCATATATCTATTGTAGTGAGAAAATTAAATATAGGTGCTTTGTTTCAATTCAAATATTTAGCCCCAAATCTTATCTGAACTAAAAGTTTACAGATATATTAGTAGCAATACTGTTTTGGGAGAACTTATATGCCCCCTCGCCCTCCCCCCACCTCCCAGATTCCTTGAACCGTCCATATTTCGGGCAATGTATTTCAGTTTTTAGGACACAAGCATCAGAGAAAGGAGAATGTGACCATATCTCATGGAAATATAATTAATTAAAAATAAACAACCATCACAACTTTGTGGAAATTTTTTTTTAGTTTGGCTGACAAAGAAATTTTTCGGGCAAATAGGCTCAGCCCCCCCCCCCCCCAAATGAGATTGGCCCCCTACACCCATGTAGCCTCTTACCTTTTGTTCAATCCGATTCAGTTTGTTGAATCAAATATTGTTTAAACTATTGTTTTCCCTCCCATCCGAACGACTGGGCATTGTCCTTCCAACCCACTCCCATCCCGTACCACTGACGGGGGGGGGGGGGGCGCATCGCGGTTGTCTTGTACATGTACATATCTAATCTGTGTAAGTGTAGTAAATGTGAAACTGAAACAAAAAGACTGTTAAAGAAACTGAATTTGATGTTTATATATGTTGTGACAGTGATGATGATAACGAGCAACTTTGATGACATTTAAAGTGCAGAGTAACTGCGTAATTTTGATTTTCAATAATTGTTTTACTTAAATAAATAATTAGTTTTTTTCTTATATCTATATTTGTTAGCAAATTACACAATTATAGATACGGTTTCAGTTCAAATGTTTGTAATTCGGCCTTAAATATCTGAACTAGAGGTTTACAGCCAACTGTAGTAAAAATAATGTAGGGTCTAATTGAAAGGGTATGTGGGTGTGGGTTTATGTTTTAGTGGAAAAAAAAATCACGTGGTTTCAGTGCGATTTACAAAACTACGAACAGAGTCCGGTGTCCATTACTTCATAGACATATTGCTCTACCAATGTCAACATATCTCCTTGCTAATCAGACTAGACGTTCCGCCCATAATTTCTGGGTGAACACCCATCATATCCTATTACCAGCATATCCTATGCTATTAACCAATAGCATATCCTTTGCCGAGGATGAAGGCATTGGGTGTTTTCGCCAATATTTAATTTTATGTCAACTTCACAATCGTTACTATAAATATAGCACTTACTTGAAAATTATAACAATTTTCATCTGGCCCTAAATCGAGTTAGTGCAAACAAATTAATTTGCTTGGAACTCTCTGGATTTGTGTTCCTGGTGTTATAAGCGTTCCAAAAATGTATAGTTTGTTTATTAGGGAGGAGCATGTAGCGGAATTGTGTTTCTAAGCAAGCTAGAGCCTGTCTAACGTCGTGGGTTTTCGCCGGGTCCTCCGGTTTCCTCCCACTGCTAATGACCCCTATGCACAAGTGGGAGGGAACCGGAGGACATGTAGAAAACCCACGAGGTTGGACAGAAATTCCAACGCCTTGTCACGTACAAACGGGGAATTGAAACCACGTCACTTGACTCATGACACAGACCTTTTGATTCCACGTATACACGTTAACCATTGCCCCCCCCCCCCATTCCCGTTCAAGAGGCAATCCTACAGTTCAGCTAGTCAAGACCGGGGGAAAAAGTGTATTCCTCACTGACTGAATGAGGGGTTTATTTGACAATTCGTTAGTCCTTTGCATTCCTAATGTAGTGCCTGATCCAAGTCGTCAACATTATGTACTGGTGGATCCCTCAGACGAAATTTAAGCCCGAAAATGTTCCAGACACGGCGGGCTCAGTTTTTCTGTCATCTCGAGATTTTTCTTCGAGTCTTTCTTTTCCCAGCATAACCTCAGACAAATGCTTTATCACTTACGTAAATGTGGATGCGAATGCGTCGAATTTATAAGGTTTCTACACCATTGATAGGGTTCCTTAAACGTGCAGATTTGGACATTTTCGCATATTCAACTTTTAAGTTTAAAATCTCCCGAACCGCTTGCTGAATTTCAAACCAAATTTGGTGGAGCTGTAGGCCTAATGCTGTTTTCCAATACAAACGACGATAACACAGATCAATTATAAAAAATGGAACTTACTGTGAGCACCAACATGCCGAAGTTACAATACAATATTGAACGTAATACAATACCACCTACGGATTTGAATAATTTTATAATAATATTTGATAATAAATGGTAAAGATGCATTCTGTATGGGCTAAATCTTCCTATTGCATGTTTTCATTTTGGCTTCAAATGTTATATACATTATTTTTTAGATATTTAATCCAATGACAAGCCAGTACAACCGGATGGCGGAGATATAAACGGGTTGAAATACGATGGCCATTTAGTGATTTAATCTGAAAATGGAGAAGCGAGACTGAGTCTCGAGTAACAAGTAACGTTCCTACACTAATGAACAATCTATGCCACACGGGTACCCTCCCATTTCGCCTACGTCCAATTTCGACTACAGCTTATAACAAACAGATTATATGGTCTGGTGGTTTTATTATCCCTACTTATATACCCTCTCCTCTCTATAGCTAAAATAGATTATTCCATAAAACATCCCATTTAGGCTACAGCGTATAACACATTACATCGAAACAAATAGAAACAAGAATAAAAAAAATATAAACAAATATTTCTACTTCCAAATTCCCGAATTTGAAAATAAACACAATATTTGTTATAAAGGAATTCTAATAAGATAACAAAAATTTTGATTGAATGATAGTCAACTTGAATAATAGAAACAATTCATCTTATATAAATGTAATCTCCAAATATTACAAATATTTGTCAAAACAAAAATGTACTCTTGAGTTGATATTTTTGTTTTGATATTAAAGAAAACAAGCTATAATATATAATGAATAAGCTAATTTAACAATAATCATTGGATTAATTACATCTCTTAATCAGTGGAACAGTTCAATGTTGATTAGTTGGGGGTCAGGTTTTTGAGGGTAATAAAATTTGGGTGTATTCCCACGAAGGCGCAAGAATCAAGAAGCTAGTTTGAAAAGCCCATCCGAATGTTTTTGAAATGATCACATTTTTACAACTAGGACAAAATATTAACCATCAAGGAAGAGATATAAATATGCTCAAATCCAAAGCCAGCTCCGTGAATTGAAAGGAAGACATGAGGAAGAGGAATTGACTTTAGTCGAGTATTTAGACAGGGTGTCTTATTTGGCGAAATTAAATTAATCTTTGTTATAGTGTAGTTATATTTTCATTTCTTATGCCAAAAATGATGCTAAAATGGTGTGTTCCCACTTAGCCGGCAGACTGTTAATCCTTTGATTGATCTTAAAACTATAGTCTGTTTAAAAGTAGTCACTCAAGAACTGTTCACAAGTGTTCAGCGTTAATGAGCTCTTAATCCCTCTTAATAAAATTTATTAACCAACAAATCAATGACATTTTGAACACAGTTCATGCCGGCGTTATGATTTCAAACATGAATTCAATTCACTATTCACCATTTCACAGATATTATTTGGTGGTACCAAAAGGCCTCGAGTTAAGAAATATCGACAACTTGATACAATAACTGAACATTTGAAAACACAGTTATTAAATGGCTCTTTAAGTGTAAATCGGTATGGAACAAATATTTCCTATTTAGTGGGGCTGTAAAATGATTGTTATGTTGTAAGGCATTTATTTAAATAAATATTAAATTTGTTAAAATCAATATATTTTTATATGTGTAAGCTATTTAATGTTATTTAATAAAAGTTAAATATGTTAAAATCAATACAGTTTTAGTCTTAAAAAAGATATGGACTATAGTTTATAACACCATTGTTCTAGGATTAACTCTGGATTAGCGGCAAAATTTGACATCAAAGCCTGCCGGCTAAGAGGGAATGCCCCGCTAAACTGTTGGTTAATTAGTTACATTGGGGATTATGAAAGTGTAAATTCTTATCATAACAATCTATAACACCATTGTTACGATTTTAATCCATTTTAATCCCTAGGAGCTGGATTCCCAAGAAGTCGTCGAAAACGACCTCGTTTAATCCGTTACGGTCAATAACTGCGCCTTCGTGGGAATAAACCAAAATTTGTAGTCGAAATGGGGTGTAGTCAAAATGGGACGTAGTCGAAATGGAGTGTAGTCGAAATGGGAGTGAACCGCCACATGTCTACAAACTTAAAACAGCGAT